GGTCATAAGGGTAATGACATATGGTTTTTATTTAGATGTTGACATTTTCACACACATACGTAATTAAACACCACTGGTGCTGATTTCCCGATGATATTAGCAGCAGTGGTTTGTGGCACATATTTGCTGTTATGATATATGTTTTGCATTTAACCCGATGGTCACCAGGATCATTACAAGATTATGTTACCCTGGCTTTTTTTTTTTTGTGTATCTACGGCAGTTATATCTAAACACGCACATCATAGCCATCCATTTAGGAGTACAAATATTGGAATTACATATTTATGTGTCAGTTGCACATACATCCACAAGGTGCTGCTACCCTATCAACTGTTCACCTGTCATTGGTCAGTAGTCACGATTAATTACCTCTGGTGGACTCGCATGACCTGGGTCCTTATGTATTTTTTCTGTATTACTAGGCATAGGCATCCTCGATCATTTGGAGTATTTGATTCCAGTCTCTATTGTTGGAATATTTCGGTAGGTATCTGGTTTTGCAGCGGGGGTGATGGGTACATATTGATAACCTTGGAAACTCACTATTATTCTCATAGGTTACTACAGATCGCCTGTATCACCTCACCCTACTACCTGACTATTTGCTCATAAGGTACGTCATGTAGCTCTCGACAATATCTCCCACCCTACCTACCCCTTTTCGGGTAATGAACTAGATATACTGGCTTACATCATAGGGGCCCCAGGTATGTTTTTCTTGGCACTCTTCGCCTTATGGTAGTGGTCCCGCGAGGCCAACACCCATCCTCATTTCGGAGGTACGGCATCCCCTCGGGCCAACTCATAGCTAGTCGCCTCGCTCGGTTGCATAGAGAGGGCCTCACCTGTCACTCCCATTCTGTCTTATGCTTTTACTAGTCACAGAGAGGCCATCACCCTGCCATAATGCCAATGGCCACGTACCCCACACGAGCCAAATCATAGATAGTGCCTCTCAAAGCCGCTTGCCAACTAGTAGGGCCTCACCAGTCACGCTCTAAGTAATTTTTTCGCCGCTTGGCATTAGTTACACCAGCCAGTACAGTAGGTCCCCAGATAACATTATTTTTATGTTGTAGCATGTCACAAATACCCGAAGGCGGGGAAGATTTGTCCATTCCCAGCACGCCAGCTAGATCAGTCACTCCATCCCGGGGGGACGACAACACGAGCCCTGCATCTCTAAGGGCATGGACCATACCCCGGATCACCGCCGAACTACGAAAGAGGAACATTCCTTTCCCAGCCACCGCTAGGAAAGCAGAATTGTACAGGCTGTTAAACACACAGACTGATAACTCAGGGGCGGGGGAAGGGTCCAGTGGCAGCCAGTCTTCCGATCTGCATACTGTTTTGTCCTCAGTCCTCACCTCGTTGGGCCGTATTACTGATAAACTTGACAAGTTGGATGCAGATAGCCAGCAGCGGTCAGCTTCTGCCTTAGGTACCCCGATTGCTACAACGCACCTGGATCCCCTACCGGGTAATATACCAAGCAGTCTTAAGAATCCGCTTATCATTAATCCAGCACACATGGTGCCAGCAAACACTAAGAAAGAAATCTTGGAAGGGAAGGATATCAATCTGGTATCTCTTCTTATAGCTTCACAAGATATCCTTGAAAATAGAACCTACGCATATGGGAATGTGTCGGTGGTTTTGAAGTCTAGGGATCCTAGGTTGAATCGGAAGCTATCCATCCCCGAATTTGTCTTAGCTTTCGGGATATACAGGGATGTGATTTGCTCAGTGTATCCGGCGAGGAGAGAAGAGTTGGACCTTTATCTCCACAAGCTGGTGGACTTGGGGCACAAGTACGGTGGTACGTCCTTTTACGACTACCACCGTGCTTTTTCCGCAAAGGCGTCGGCCGCTCTCACTCAGTTTAATCATCTAACTGATTGGGGCGTGCTTGATACAGAGCTTTTTTGTCGGCACTTTGCGGGCCTCAAAGCCCCAGCTTGTGCCATTTGCTCGTCCAACTCCCACACTGCTAATCTGTGCCCTAACTCTCCCGAGGTGAATGCTGTGTTTTCCCCTGCTAACATCATGCCAACTGGGAGAACGGGCAGGGGACTGAAAGACAAGCTAGGCCGTGATATAGTGTTTTTGGGAAAATCGCAAGTCTGTAATAATTTTAATACTGGCACTTGCGGCTACAGTGCCTGCAGACTGCTTCATGTCTGCTCCCAATGTTTCAGGGTTCACTCAAAAGTGATGTGCCCCAATAAATTATATCCTAAGCAGTATTTTTCGTCTCTTGATGTCTCCCTACTTGAAAAGCTTTTGTGTGAGCACCCATCACGACATCTCGTTGAGTTTTTGGTGGCAGGTTTTACTTTGGGGTTTCACACGGGTATTATTTATATGCCTACGGGAATCTTGGAATGCAAAAATTTGCAGACAGCCCTAGCAGCTCCAGACACCATAAACCTACTCCTCCAAAAGGAAGTTGATCAAGGTTTCTTAATAGGCCCTTTTGTCTCCCCGCCTTTCGCGGTCTGGAGAACTAATCCCATAGGACTGGTCACTAACAAATCCTCCAATAAGCAAAGGTTAATTCTCGACCTATCTGCTCCCCACGCATCACCTACCCCAAGTCTCAATTCTCTCATTCCATCAGAAGAATTTTCCCTCCAACACGCGACCATAGATAATGCCATCACTGCCATCCTCTCTGCCGGGGTAGGGGCATGGCTGAGCAAAACTGATATTGTAAATGCCTTTAAATTACTCCCTATCCACCCTTCCCTGTGGCATTTGCATGGTGTTAAGTGGCAAGGTTCTTACTATTTTTTCACACGCCTCACGTTCGGTTCTAAGAGTAGCCCCAGGATTTTCGATGTATTCGCGGAGACGTTGTGCTGGATGCTGCTTAACATCTGTAAATGTCCAACCGTGATACATTACCTAGACGACTTCCTGACCATAGAAAGGAACCTGATGCCCCCTAGTAGCCTCCTGTCCATGACACAACTGTTCACACAACTGGGGGTACCTGTTTCACCAGCTAAAACTGAAGGTCCAGATACGATCATCAACTTGTTGGGAGTGGTACTGGACTCTGTTCATATGCAGGCTAGCCTCCCCAAGGAGAAGATTAATCGCATCCTAGCAGCCATTGACCTTTACCTAACAGGAGGCTCGTGTAATAGGAAAGAACTACAGTCCCTGTTGGGTTCCCTAAATTTCGCCATGAAAATAATTCCACAGGGTAGAGCATTCATATCCCATTTGCTTAGGCTATTTCCCCTGTTTCACTCTGATTCCACCCGCATTACATTAGACATACATGCCACCGCTGACCCTACATTTGTGGAGAGAATTTTTGCTAAATTGGAATGGGAAAAGCATTTTTATCCCAGTATGGTCAGATAAGTCAGTATCATTATGTACGGATGCCGCTGCCACGTCAGGTTTCGCAGCTATTTGTGGCAATGAATGGATGTGGGGTGAGTGGCCAGAGGAAATTACTGCAATCCCCAAGTTCAAAGATACTTCAGCCTTATTCGAGCTTTACCCCATTGTGGCGGCAGCAGTTAAGTGGGGAGCTGGCTGGTCTGGGAACACGGTGCGTTGTTTCTCTGACAACATGCCATATTGTAAACAAGGGTCGTTCTTCTTCCCTGGCCATCATGCGGTTTATGAGGACTCTCACTTGGCTAGCTGCTAGACACAGTTTTCTGTTAACTTGCATTCATGTTCCTGGGGTGCTCAATATCGCTGCTGATCACTTATCACGGTCTCGGTTTCAGGAGTTCCGGGCAGCACTACCAACAGCTACCCCGACACCGCCTCCAGCACCTCAGTGGCAGGAATTGGTTTGGGACTAAAAGAATTGCTCTATCACGGGCAACAACTTTCGCAACTCGGTCTTTCCTATAACACCAGGAAAGCTTATGGCAGAGCTTATCATGTTTTCAATAAATTTTTGTTGGACTTTAATGTCACTGACAAATTTTCCATGGAGACTATCATTGCATTTATTTCTTTTTGCCACCTTCATCTAACATCATATAACACCATTAAGTTGTATATCACAGGTATTCAGTATCACGTCCTCACAACCTGGCCTAATAGGCAGCGATTCCTGTCATCCTATCAAGTTAAAGCCATACTTAAAAGGTATCAAAGACTCCACTCCTTTACCCTCACCATCCAGACTACCCATTCACGATCTTTTGTTCCAGTCACTATCCAATCTACTAGACACCTCACCGTTCGAAGCCCATACAAACCGTATAATTAAGACAGCCATCTATCTGGCTTTTTATGGGTTTCTTAGGCCCAAAGAGTTCACCACCACTAACTATAACTCCCCTGACGTCATCACTAGGTCCAATCTGGTTAAAGTACAAGATCACTACGTTCTATCCCTACTCCATACCAAAACTGCTGCTAAAGGACAGACAGTCACTATCGCCTATTACCCCACTAACAATAATTGGTGTCCGGTGGAAGTTTTCGACAAATACCTCTCCTCTTGTACCATAGCCCCTACACAACCACTCCTTACTTTACACGGTAACAAGCTAACTACGAGTAAATTCATGATGTATGTGAGGATGTTGTTGGTCCGTTTAGGATTAAACCCCGCAAGTTACTCTGGTCACTCATTTAGAATAGGAGCCGCCACTACAGCTTCTAAGAAGAATATCCCGGCTCACATAATTAAAATTTTAGGCCGCTGGAAGTCCACGGCTTACACAAGATACATCCCTCAGCCAATACAAGAACTACGCTTAGCATTCAAGACCATGAATATGTGATAATTGTAGGTTAAATAAACTGGTTATATCTTTTTGCCCTCTTTTATTTCAGGCCTACTGCCTCGTCAGTTCCGGCACACCACAACTGACATTTCCATTTACTGTTTGTTTTATGTTACTAATACTACGGCTTTATGCCATGACCACAAATATAAAATTATATATATATATATATATATATATATATATATTTTTTAATTAAAAAGTATCTAATTCCACACACAGTATTGGTAAACATGTTTAATGCATTTATAAGATTCATTAGAGGCACAGCTCCTTGTCAGATACCAGATTCCTCCACAGAAAAATGTTACAAATATAAATTAGTCACATGGGAGAATATAAATAAATAGTACATTGATAAGAGCATGAGCCATCACAAAAAAACAAGATCAGTACACAGGGGTTTTTGGGATTCACATGCACTGGCTGCATCCCAGAAGAAAAGAGGGGATAATAAAAAATATACACCTTTACAAATAACAAAAGAGAACATGCAGAAATGCCCCACATTATAGGACAGGAAAGTCTAGTCAATTTTGGCAAGGTTGGTAAATTCACCCTTACCAGAAGTCTAGATCTGAAGGATCAGTCAGTCCTCAAAATATAAAGTAAAAGGTGGCTCTCAAAATGCATTCCACTGTAAGCCAAAACAGCGAGAAGATAAGTATTTCAGTTACAAAGTTAAAATTTATATCGTCCTTTAATCCCACAAAAATTGGGTTAAAGTGAGTCTAAACTGTTCTGGTAAAATTCTAATTTTTTTTGTTAGTTTGATTTTTAATTTTTTTTTAAATTTAGTTTTTTTACACAAAGGAGGTAGGAATCTCATGTCAAGGTCCACTAAAAAAATGCCACGTTTCAAAAAAAAAAAAAGAATGTGTGTTGTGATCAAGCAAAGGCATGTCATAACACATTAATGGCTTTCTTTAAGAACAGTTTGTACATGAACCAAGCATGAAGAGATTCTCACTGCACTCACTCTCGTATGTTTAAATAAATAAGATCCTGTTAAGTTGATCTAACCCATTGGAATCATCAAATTTTCACCGTATTTCCTGAGCAACTTGCTGTGGTTGTGATCAACAGACCATTGTGGTGGCAGATACTTGGGTTGCATGCTGTCCAAGAAATGCTGACGCCAACGTTTCTCAAGCTCCATTAGAGATTTCAGTCCACCTTTAGCGTAGCTCTGCACTACCTTCACTCCATGAGGCACGTAGGACTCATTGAAAAGCCTACAGAAAAAAAACAAAAACAAAAAAACAAAACAAAAAAAAACATATGTAACTGCAGGAACACTGTTAACCTAGTTTGGATGAGTTCTCGTTTACTCAAACTGATAAATCCACCCAAACTACCACTACAAAAAAGTCCCCTCTCATGTATCACCAGCGTCGGTGGTTCTAAAACCACCACCCATCATAGGCAGCCCTGTCTTCCTTGGTGCAGTGGAGACCCCTCTCTCTGACACTGGGAAGGGTCTACGAACGATGACTTTCAAGATTTATGGCATCTCACTCAATGTATAAAGAATGGTTTACTGAAGCAATATTAAAAACATGCAATGGGTTGCCCAGCCTGTACCATGTATGTATATATACAGTTCCCTATTAAAAATAGAAAGTCACAAAGGCATCGAGCTTGGTGAAAGTGGGATTGTATACGCCTTAACCTTTTTTCTACTACTCACCGGTGTTCTTAAGCTAGGCACCAAGCTATACTCTTTATTCCCGGTCGTTAATATTTTTTGTAAATAATAAAAAAAAAACCCTGACGGATCGAGTTCAGGTCTAGGGCTCATGCACTATGTATATAAAACTTTTTGTATTTGAAAAGAAGTTGGTATGCTTTTCTGTATCATGATATATATTTTGATTATTTATGTTAATTGTGTATTGAGTCGCCTGACTGTAACTGATATGAATATTAAAAGGGACACTATCGTCACCTGAACAACTTTAGCTTAATGAAGCAGTTTTGGTGTATAGAACATGCCCCTGCAGCCTCACTGCTTAATCCTCTGCCATTTAGGAGTTAAATCCCCTTGTTTATGAACCCTAGTCACACCTCCCTGCATGTGACTTGCGCAGCCTTCCATAAACACTTCCTGTAAAGAGAGCCCTATTTAGGCTTTTATTGCAAGTTCTGTTTAATATTTTCTTATCTCCTGCTATGTTAATAGCTTGCTAGACCCTGCAAGAGCCTCCTGTATGTGATTAAAGTTCAATTTAGAGATTGAGATACAATTATTTAAGGTAAATTTCATCTGTTTGAAAGTGAAACCAGTTTTTTTTTTCATGCAGGCTCTGTCAATCATAGCCAGGGGAGGTGTGGCTAGGGCTGCATTAACAGAAACAAAGTGATTTAACTCCTAAATGACAGTGAATTGAGCAGGGGAATGATCTATACACTAAAACTGCTTTATTTAGCTAAAGTAATTTAGGTGACTATAGTGTTCCTTTAATGACTGTCATGGCAAAAATAAAGAATTAAAAAAAATAAAATAAATAGAAAGTCACTTTGGAATTGTTGAGAATGTCACCTGTGAGGTGTAGTTGATGTCAGTATTGCTTTTACAAGATCTCTCCAACGTATTACCTTGTCTCAAGACTTGCTGCCTCTTGTAAAGTCTCATGGGTGATGTATTCCATTCCATAAAAGTTTTTGATCTCTTTGAGAAGCTCATTCCTTCGTTGCTCTGGCAGCTTGGAGGCATTAAGGAGAGCCCGGGCTGCAGAGCGCACTTGCCTACGTTCAGGGTCTTCCAGCATGCGCACCCCTTCTTCGCAACCTATAGGGGCATTAAATTCCTCTGAGAGCTGCTGCTTCAAACTGGCATCATGGTAGTTAGACACTGCATGGCAGGACGTACAAAGCAGCAGCACATCATGAGAATTGTGATCTTTCATCTGGATAGGAAAATGGCGTCTGTATTCATGGGGCACCACATTCTTTCTGCAGAAAGAGGTAAGTAAAAGAGGTGAGCACACAACAGTACGTGCATGAGTTTAAACTGGAGGATATGTATAACAAAGAAGCATGTCAATAACAGACTTTAGGATTACCTTATGTAGGACTCCCTTTTGCCACACACCACACAAAGATTCTCTTTAACAGTCAGGTAGTAGTCCACACTGGACTCGGGGCGGCCAGATGGTTCAAATCGCAACTTCACAATGAATGGATCATTGCTAATCAGATCTAAAAGTCAGTAGTCAGAAGAGAATTTATTTCACTTAAATAATCAGATCTAAAAGATTAGAGATAGTGTAAGAATGTTCAAAAGGAAGTCTCTACCATTCTAAAAAATAAATAAAAATATAATCACTGGAATAGCCATGGGTCAGTCTTCACATTTTTTGGGACCATCATCACTGCATGAATAAACCTGCACACAAAAGTCTCAAATGGAGAGTGGAAAGGAGAAAAATATAAAATATAAAAACACACACACACAGTTACAAAGTTATGGCTCCTTGCAGAAACGGACAGTTGACCATATTAAATATCAGACAGGAGCTGGCAAACAAAAATGCTCTCACCTCCAATGCCCTTATCCAGATACCACTGAGCTTTCTTCCGATCACACGTACACAGGGGCTGTCCATCAGGAGCATGCAGAAAGCAGTTATCATACAATGGTGCTTTCCTAAAAAGACATGGTTTACAGACATGGTCTATAAAACTGATCAGTGTTATACAGCAGGCGAACAGGACAACTGAGGGAATAGACATTATTACTCTTGCTAGAATTGTAAGTTTTATACATCCACGTTTACCTTGCAGAGTATCCCACGCCAAGGGGCTTTTTCTTATTCTTGCGAGGGTCTTTGCCTTGGTTAATCTGAGAGAGCTTCTCTTCAGACCTTGACCTTTTAGTTCTTTGTGCACCATTTACATCTCCATTTAAAATGCCAGCAGATTTTGCTTTAAACGGGACATCTACCAACCCTTGACATTTTCCGAGTAATAACTCCCAAGAGCAGGGTGAATCTGGTAAGAAGAATCCCAGCAGGTGAAGAAATAGGGCAATAGAGACTTGTGCGTCCCTTGCGGCATACAAAACCTAGGGAAAAAAGACAAAGAAGCAGGTCAATCTGTAGAACTTAATTTTGTATTCACACTAGAGAAGAAGAAGAAAAAAAAACATCCCAAAAAAACAAACCAACCTACATTTGTGTATACAAACCCAGAGATGAGGACATAGTAACTCATTGTGACGGTAGTCACCATCCCTGGGAACATAAGATCCCTGGATGACTCCTATGTTTAAGTCACCCTGTACCCATTGTAGGTGCAAGGTGTGTGTGTGTAATGTATGTGTATTATGTATTTATTGTTACTGGTTTGTGTGCTCTCCTGTCCTGCTGATGCTTTCTACCAACTAGGAGGAACTTTGGCTACGGAGCCTGTATAGAAACCTCTGTTGGTTGCAGCAACAGCTTTATGCACTACCTGAAAAGCAAGACTTGCTAATTTGCATATTCAGGTAGATTTGCATATTGCTAATTCTGCAGGCTGGGGAGATATTTAGTGTTAATGATTATAATGATTATCTTCCCCACCCCCTTAAAAATATGTCATTGTGTTATAAGTTGCTGTATGTTGTCTGCTAGGATTTGGTTACTTGTATTTTATTTAAGTTGTCACAGCAATCTAGATGTAATAGAGTCTATGGGCTAGTCCTGAGAAAAATGAAATTTTGTATGTCCTTTCCTTTTGGAACTTGTGTCCTGTGTGGATTTTTAGCGATCTTCGTGGTAGTCTTTGGAGGAGTTTTCTGGTTGCAGGATCCCTCTAGTTCTGGGATAAGGCAATAACTATAGTCACTGTAAGCAGAGCAGCAGCGGAATAAGCAGAGGGGACGATACATGCCTGGAAGGAGAGCTACTGCCTGGTAGGGTGCAAAGCTCCAGAAGGAGTCCAGTCAAGCTGCGGCAAATGGGGGCAGAAGAGTTCCAGGGTCCCTGCAAGCGGCTAGCAAGCTGACTCAGGTCACACTCTCCCCCTCCCAAAAAAAAAAAAAAAAAAAAAAAAAAAACACACACGCACATAAAGACTGCCTGCACCACAATAAGCAGTAAGGGTTATAGTATTTAGCTGGCCCCTTTTAAATTCATACATTGTAAATATGATTAGAATAGTTGTGCAACAATGACATGTCTCATTAGGATTTCTTTAACCCATCTATTGTGCCAAGCAAGTCTGTTACACTGCAAATAATTTTAGAATTGGAAAGACTTTACAAATATTGCAAATACGTCCCAGACACAAACCACATTGCTAAACTTCAAACTACCAAAACACAGTGAACAGACCAAGGCTTGCAAGTAGATACAGACCTGATCCGGACTAAATTCTTCTGCATCCCAATTGCTGCAGCGCAGCTGAAAGGATTTGTCCAGGGGGAAGGATAAAATACTCTCGGAGAGAGTCTTTAGACTCAAACTGTTCTGAAACGAGTCTCTTCTAGAACAAAAAATAAATAAATCATCAGTGTTCAATTCACAGTAGTACAAACCAAACTGTAGAATTATTAGCAGGTACAGATATAGTTACACAGTTCATAACAAATATTTGACTTAATCGCAGCTCGTCATTTTGATAATAAATTTGAAAAACTATTTATAAAATGTACTATTTCAGGCGTTACAGATTTTCTACACAAATGACAGAGCACCAAATAATAGACTTCCTGCAAATTCAACTAAAGTGGAGTCCATACAGAAACTGTATATGCCACAAAATCTTTACATATTTTTTTTCCAATGACACCTCAAAATGAGGAGATTATGAATCAAACAGGACATCTGCAAAATCTTTTCCTGAAGTCTGTGTTCCTTTTTAGCCCTGTTAAACAGTTAGAAGGTGCAGGACATTATAATACAAATACACACACACCCACCCAGCCTAAGACGTTTCTCCTCATAATTAAAATCTTCATATCTTTCTCTTATTAGAGGATTTACGCTTCTCTACCTTTCCCAGTTCTTCAATCTTTTGGATAATAGGAGTCAAGATTACTGTGTACATTGAAGGTGGGATGGTCACGCTGATCTAGAGGTAAATGTTTTCTACCTTATGCAAGTCAAGCCCCAAATATTAAGTGTCCTGTATTGCCTGTACATTGCGGAAGTTGAGCCAGACAAGATTAGGAAGCATCTGAGCTCATTTAGTGAAATCTTCAAAACGAGGCTGGACACCATTTGATCCATTATTATCCAATGGGCTTTAAAGGGGATAAGGGGGAAAGAAGTCACAATGTACGATAGCAGGGATAGGCAACATTCAGGACTCCAGACTACATCTCCCATAGTGCTAGCAAAGCATCATGGGATGCTGCCACTGTACTATAGTATCTTTTAAACATATATTGAAGAGTGATTGAGAATATCCCCTTGTTATGCCTCATTCACAGAAATTCTTGGAACCCCAGATCTGAAAATAAAACCACTGTATAAATAAAAATACCTCTGTCTCATTGCAAGGTATCGGATATCGACAAGTCCTTTCACAGAAAGGCCATAATCACACTGCAGTTTATTGGAGTCATCACAGCAGCCAACTCCAACTTTCAGAATGCTGGAGTTTGCGAGGAGATTGAGAAACGTATTGGGGACAGTACGGCCAGAGTTGACAAATTGAGGCAAACGAACCAGGATACAAAAACCACTGTGGGTAGCCATCTGTAGTAGAGATACTGGTTTCTTTTTTCCTTCTACAGCCACCTGAAAAACAAAGGAGGAGAACACAACAAAGTTACCCAAAAAGTTTAAAGAAAAAGTGGCTTAAAACTACAGTAAAACGGAAAAATATAAATGTACTCTCTGCAGATCTAAGCTGCCCCTGTGACTTGGCAATAACTGGAATAAGAGGGCTTGGTTAAAGGATCACTATAGGCACCCAGACCACTTCAGCTTAATGTAGTGGTCTGGGTGCCAGGTCCAACTAGGGTTAACTTTTTTTTTTAATATAATATATAGCAGTTTCAGAGAAACTATGTTTATAAATTGGTTAATCCAGCCTCCAGTGGCTGTCTCTTGACAGCCGCTAGAGGCGCTTGCATGCTTCTCACTGAAAAAAAAAAAATCACAGTGAGAAGACGCCAGCGTCCATAAGAAAGCATTGTGAATGCTTTCCTATGGACTGGCTGAATGCGCACGGCTACTGCCATGCATGCGCATTCAGCCAAAGGAGGAGGAGAGTTCCCCGCCCGGTGCTGGAGAAAGAGGTAAGTTTAACCCCTTCCTCTCCCCAGAGCCCGGCGGGGTATGTTTTCCTGGCAATATAGTGGTCCTTTAACAGCACATTATAGTAAATACAAGCTGATAAATTGTATTAGATGTTACATTAGAGATTTTCTGTGAAACTGAAAGTTATAAACATTGAATTTTATTTGGTTACTATAATCTGGGAACAAAAATGTAGCAGCCTTCACAGCAATATGATACTTTGTGCCTTTTCACTGTCAGTAGTTAAAGGATCACTATGTCAGGAAAACAAAGCGGATTTCCTGACACTATAGTGCCCTGAGTGTGACCTCACCCTCAAGGTCCCCGTCTCGTGGCGCTGAAGGTGTTAAAACTCCTTCAGTTACTTACTTTAATCCAGAACGAGCGCTGGTGACCTCTCCTCCCCTGCCAACGTCAGCTCCCCGTCTGACGACAGCTGAGCCGAATGCGCGGTAAGTGTAGGGCACGCATTCAAGCTGTCAATAGGAAAGCATTTCTCAATTTCTCTGAAACTTTCTCTGAAACTGCTATGTTTGCATCTGTAGGGTTAAAACCTGAGGGACATTGCACCCAGACCACTACATTGAGCTGAAGTGATCTGGGTGACTATAGTGTCCCTTTAAATAGGTAAATTCAAAGTACTATTATGTGCATAAAAGAAGGCCACAGTGCAGCAAACTTCCATTGGACTTAGAATAGAATGTGCTCTGTGTCAAACTAAAGTATTAAAACAAGAAACAGATACACAGACTTCATTCAGTTACATCACAGAACACTGTACAGTGACACCTACCCATTCACAGTCTATACCAAGAACTTTGTAGTATGTAAGCTCTTTGTTCAAAACAGGCCAGATTTCCTCCCATTCTTCAGTGTCAGACACTACTTTAATTTCAGCTTCCAAAATCTTCTCTACGGCAGACACACCACAATATTCTTCCTCCGAGTTTTCGCTGCTCTCTTTCTCTGTGCAGTCGATGCAAGCATCACCTCCAGTGCTTATGTTCTTGTGGAGACTGGCAGCAGAGAGTTGTCTTCTCCGATGAATAAACTTCCACAGTACAAGACATCCTACAGTGGTTCCCACCAAAGATGCAACGCCAAGTGTTAGCCCAGGGTGCCTGGGCATCTTATTGGAATACCTATAATTGAAACACAAACAAAAAACAAATTAAGAGCCACTGTAGAACCATTTTACTATCATTTACCAAGACCAAGTGCTTATCGATGCTCCATACATAAAACACGAATATTGCAGGGGTGTTGCTCACCCAAATTTCAAGGATAGAGAAGCCCCGCGTGCCCTTACAAAGACACTGGTTAACAGTAAAGTCAGACTCCATATTACTTGTCTGATTTCATAAAGACTTATGAATCAGTTGCGCTTTATGGCTAGAACATTTTGCATTATTGAAAAAAGGATTAAAAAGGGTCCTCCCAGTGGCCATGGTCTCTCTAGACGCAGAGAAGGTGTTTGATCGCCTTCTCTGGTCCTAGATCATTTTAGCATTCCATTGGAATTTAGACAATTCATAGAAGCAACTTACTGCTACCCAATATCCCCCCCCCCCCTTTCCATATCATCAAAAGCACCTTTAAATGCTGTCAACTCTCTTATTTGCCTTATCACTTGAACCCCTCCTAGCAGCCATCAGGTTGACATCTCTCATTACACAGATAAAATGGGGGACAATCTGCTAAATACAAATAAAATAGAAAAACAAACCGTACAACTGTGTGGAGACTGGTACTGGTGTGCAATCACAATTGGTCACTCACAATTTTGAAGAGTTAAAACAGCCTTGAATGATATCTTTATAGAGTTAAAACAGCCTTGAATGGTATTTTCCAGTATGTTGTTCCTCCTCACATATTCATCAGTAAATGGGTGTATATGTCTCAAAGAGAAAAATATGTACAAAGATGTAGTGCACTTCCAGAATATGATAAAAAGTATTTTAATGACTTACATTTAAGTATAAAACAAACAGCATGTCACCATAAACGTCCTACGCGTTTCGTCCTAGGGTTGGACTTCCTCAGGGACTTGGTGTGATAAGGTGCAATAAAAAATAGCAGCAGCAATAACAATATCCCTCCCACAATCCTTTATATACATCCCCATTTAGTGTTTGAAGTCTTTGAACACCAGCTGAAAGACTTCAAACACTAAATGGGGATGTATATAAAAGGATTGTGGGAGGGATATTGTTATTGCTGCTGCTATTTTTTATTGCACCTTATCACACTAAGTCCCTGAGGAAGTCCAACCCTAGGACGAAACGCGTAGGACGTTTATGGTGACATGCTGTTTGTTTTATACTTAAATGTAAGTCATTAAAATACTTTTTATATTCTGGAAGTGCACTACATCTTTGTACATATTTTTCTCTTTGAGACATATACACCCATTTACTGATGAATATGTGAGGAGGAACAACACACTGGATACTGGAAAATACCATTCAAGGCTGTTTTAACTCTATAAAGATATCATTCAAGGCTGTTTTAACTCTTCAAAATTGTGAGTGACCAATTGTGATTGCACACCAGTACCAGTCTCCACACAGTTGTACGCTATGTTTTTCTATTTTATTTGTATTTAGCAGATTGTCCCCCATTTTATCTGTGTATATCTATTGAAGACAAGAGGAAGTCTTCGGGGATTCATCTGGATACTTCACCTTAACATAAGGGAAGTCTTGGTTCGCTTCTATATTATATTTTCTTTACTGAGGTTGTGTTCACATATTGTTTTTTTGTTTGACATCTCTCATTGAAGGAATCTCAGTTCTGGATTACACCTACAAAGTCTGACATTTATTAACCGTAACCAACACAGAGACTTCCTTGACTTTACTATCCCCTTAACATACCCAGAGACACGCTGACTTCCATGAAACACAAATTCCCTTTCCGCATATGCCCCACAACCATAACGTACCTAGGCACCCAAATCACCAGTGACATTTCCATTCTATACATGACAAACTATACCCCTATAGAGAATTACATTTTAATCACACAGCTCTAAAGCAACAAAATACAGTATTCAGAATGCTATGTTATAAAACCGAGATATTGCTAAAGGTGTGGCTATTAAATTGGTGTCATGTATCCCCCACCCACTAATCATACCAATAAAACAAGTGCAGGAAGGATGGAACACTTCAACCTATGATATTGTGAGGGTGTGAGCAAGTGTTAGTATCAAAATGTGTGTCTTCAAGTAGAAATATGCTGGAAAATCATTAAAGTGAGCTAGGAGGACTCTAAATTTTAGAGCAGCTGTAGGCAATGGTCGGGCTGTTCTGAGAATTTTCAGAACACTTGCAAATAAACTTTGGTGAACCCCACTCACCCCCACCCCCCCAAAAAAAAATATGCACCTCCCAACATTGGTGCCAGTAAGTGGGCAAGTGATACAAATAATGTCATTGGCGCTGCCCAAAGGCCATGGACCTGCCTATAAATAGCTTAGGTCTGCCCAAAGAATATGGAAGTCAGCTTGACATGAATGCAAACCTGCCAGCCAATCCCCCGGGCCAACCCACTAACAGTAGAGCATGCAGGGAGCCCTGTTTTGGTGCTCTCTGCAAGGACCTAGCATTCTAAACGTGTAATGAACATGCATCTACGCTTATTGGGACAAAAACAGCACACCAGGGAACAAAGTTGGACAGTATTAACCCAGCCTTAAAGGGTCACACCAATGACCAAATCGGCATAAAAAAGTAAGATTCAATGTTTAGTAGATAAACGCTCCACGCATGCATAAAATCATTTTTCATACATGTATTCATTGGGAGTAAATCTTGAAAGAGCTTGTAAAGGCAAAAGATCTTACGAACTGCGGCCATTGCAAGTCCTCCCCTTTTTTTCCCCAGAAGAGACTTGTAGTCTTTTCACAGTGGAAGTAGCCAGAGTCTTCTCAGTGAGAAGCCTCTGAAGCTCTCCTATTGTGTACACCTGCTATGACCACTCATGTCTGCTTGTGTGCACGCGCAGCATTCTGATCGGAGGTCTGACAAACAGGTATGCAGGCGCATTCAAGTAAAGAGTGCTCAGGGGACCTGACGGAAGTAGAAAACAAACCTGGCTGTCGGATTGATTGACAACTAGGTGGGTGTTTAATTTTCTCATAGATATCAGCACTTTTCTAACTCATAATCAGATACTCCTTACCCATAAAGCACTTCAGCAAGCAGAAGTGATTTAGGAGTGTGGTACGGTCCTCTAAGCATACCACCCAAAATCTGAAATAGACAGACGGTTTAAAGTTAAAAGTGTGACCAGGTGTGGGGCTGTTCTGAGAAATTTTAGGTGACTTACTAATAATAATACTACTACATGCAACTAAAATCTAATTAAGAACAACATTTCTTAGTTATACAGATTGGTTTCTAAACACATTTATTGTAGCCCAAATACACTTTATAGGGACAATTATTGCTGTAAAGCTTGGTTTATACACTTAGACACCAACAACATGGAGTTCCTTAAAAAGGACATTAGAAAATCGAGATTTGGACTCAAAATATGACCTGTGCCTCCTGAATAGGGACGTCTGCTAGGTATGCTTAGAACATATTGCTTCTAAATTAAATAATGTAGTATTGCACGCTCTATCACAAGACATTCTGAGGCATCTATTGGATTACAATTTAAAAATCAATAATATTCGAAAGCAATTCCCCTCCCCGAGTTGATATAATTCCAACTTGCATCAGTACCTCTAAAATTAAATGTAGGCATGGTTAGAATATATAAAAAGGTTTAGACACCAAACTAATTAAATGAAGACCAATTGCAAACATATATGCAAAAAAAAAATAATTTAAATTTAGGCTATATTTTGCAGTTGTGTTTAGTGAGCAGACCCCATACATTGATTCCATATGTCCCATGACTTGGTATGGGTATATGACAGTCAGTATAATGGGAGCTGCTAGACATGCAGTTACCTGGTCGCAATAAATGCTCACACACAGCTGACACGCACTCAAGCGTTCCACCGACTGGCCGCACGCACTTCCTCTTCCTGAAATTACGTCACCGCCCGAGCACGTGCCGCTCTCCCCCTCCTTATTGTACGGAAAGCGAGAGGCATGTTTAACCCATACACTCTCAGAGCTCAGAGTATCCCCCTTCCATTCTAAGCATGTGATGCCTCCCAGTGGCAGCTTTGTGTTTATTTAGAAATAAAACATTAACCATGGGTTATTATATGTTGATGTGGGAGTAGGTATAAAAACAATGTTTTATAAGGTGATATAATTACATGCTGGGTGGTGATAAACCCCAGGTCTGATGCCAAATCACATGCAGGTTTAATGAGAAATTCTGTCCCAGTTTAGTAAGAGAAATACTGAAAAAAAAATCTACAAATACAACTTAAAGGGTCACTTTTTATTTATGTATTCTTTTTACTTGCATTTTAATTGGATTTTGCAACATGTCCAAGTCCAACACTTCAGCAATACAATAAATAGAGAATGCAGAACAGTTAGCAAGCTGTCACAGACAGCTGAAGCATCAAGGGGCCTCTTATTGTTCAAATTGAGGTAGAAAATGTGATCTTTTAGAGACTGTGGGAGTGCCTAGTCTTTTTAAGTAACTAAACATGTGGTTATGGCATCCACCTGTTTGCATCACTTTACTGTATGGTGTACACGTGGAAAGTTAATTTTTGGAACCCTAAATGTTGTAGATTGCTTCTCATTATGTTCCGTTGACTGTTTTTTTTTAAACAAAAGGCTTGTGGTCCATTATGCCCAAAGTTTGATATCACTGCTAATTGCCATATAGACATTAGTATTTGCAGGGGTGTTACTAGGTGACAAAAAGATCTGCATGTATTGATTTAAGACCCCACCCAAAGCCATACCCACTAATATTGGCATTAACCTGTGAGCGGAATAAGAGGAGGCAGACCACAAATTGCGTCACCAGCATATACCCTAAGTCCAACCGTAAACATTAACATGTTCTCTAAAGTCTAAATCACATTGTTATACCAAACTCTAGATTGAATTCAAAATACTACATGAACCTATATTTCTAAACTCCACACTGCTGTATTAATTCCAGGCCATACTGCATTATTCCTTCACCCAACTGCGTTAAAGGTCTGTACCCACAGCAATACTCCCACATGGTGCTGTATTAAATCCAAATATGTTGCATTTAAGTGGCACTGTCACAAATTATGCAATTGGAGGCGTTATTGCTCTCTCAACTTTAAAATGGACTCAGGGTTACGAATTAAATGGTGCCAAAATTAGACCCATGGGTTTTCAGGACCCAACTTGGGGCTCCTGTCAGTCCCCCAATGCCTCCGGGTATTTGTGTTAGAGTGAGTGACATTATTAAAGCTGAACAAAGTAATATTTTTGCCTTTGTGCCCCTGTTATGTATAAAGATGTCTATCTGGGTTTCATACATATGACTATATTTTCACATTGTAAGTTCCCACACAGATCGTGTCAGATCAGGCACAGTTTAGCAGGCAACTGAAGTGCCATAGAGAACTAAAAAAAGTGACACTTTTGTGCCACAATTGTGATGCGATTGGATCACTTTTCTCATGAATCATGTATTGGATACCTGGCTAAACCACTTTTTGTGGCATTGTAAAATTTTAGAATGGGTGTGTAAACTTGACTGAGCGTCCTCAGTGTGGGGTACCCATTTTGTGGGAGAGGGTACTATTGAGAATGGCTATGATTTGTGGGGGTGCATGCTGTATAGGCTTATTGAGGGGAGAACTGTTTTGGTCTTGTGTCTATGAAATATGTAAGACTTGATGGCTATAGGTGTGCCCCCAGTTGTAGACTTATAACTTCCACGATACACAGCCAGCACAAAGGCTGGCAGAGCATTGTAGGACTTATAATTCTTATAGAATGGGGAACACATTTTTGGCTTGCTCTTATATAAGGCATCCAGCATGTCACCAGCCAAATTACCCTGATTTTGGGGTGTTTGTCAAGCCACAAATATTGGATGTCTGCCAATTCTGGGTCAAAGGGATGAAATTAAAAGCCCTGCTTCTGGCTAGCTGGGTCCTGGAGAATGTGTCAGGTGGGTCGGTTTGTGTCTAGCTGGGCCACAGGGATGAGATCCAAGGCTCTGCTTGTGTGTAGTTGTGTCCTGCAGATGGAATCAATGGGTCATGTTGGTGACAAGCTGGGTTCTGGAGATGGGATCAGGGGCCCCCGATTGTGGCTGGCTGGGTCCTAAGGAAGGAATCAAGGGGCCCTGTATATGGCAGGTTGAGTCACAAGAAATGGATCAGGAAGTCCTGTTTGTGGCAGGTTTTTTTAACCAAAATGGAGAACACTGCACTTACTTTAAAGGGACACTCCACTGCCCAAATACAAAATAAATAATTATTGTTTAGTAAATATACTCCATATAAAAACTTGCATGAATTTAATTACGCATTTTTTTCCAAAAAAACTAAATGTGCAAAAGTTGCAGTTCTGCATCTGCAATCCCTCCCCTTCAAACCTGCCCTGACTTTCTGTGGCTGCCCAATCACAGATTCCCAATGCAGCTCAATGAAAAGTCATTGCAAGGCAGGTGCTCTGAGCTATTTCTGCCTCTTGAGTTTAGCGTTACAAGCTAACGAAACCAGGAAGTAACAGGACCTGTTGTCTGATTGAAAGCAAGGGGGTGTAATCAGGTTAATTTATAAAAGGGCCAATTTGTACTGAAATCTGCATGTTTTGCAAAATGAAAGAAACTAAAAAGACACACTTCACACAAAGCTTTTCAGCAAGCTAAAGTGCTTTAGGGATTTGGAGGGTCCTTTTAAAGGGGATTACTTCCACCAGGATGCTCCAGACAGGGAGGGCAAGTCCCCTAATGTTTTCACTGGAAGTATATACAACTGTCCATGCACACCCAATGGTTTCTTCTGAAAGCAGTCTTTATTTGGAACAAAAATGTGTAAACAATGTTTTGGCTCCTGCATAAGCCACTGTCATGTTGAAACAATCGAATCGGATGTGCCTGGACATTTTTATGTGGCTGGGTCTTGGGAAAGGGAACAGGGGCCCTGTGTGTGGCTGGGTCTTGGAAAATGGGTCAGGGTGTCCTGGGGAAGGGATCAGGGGGCCCTGTGTGTGGCTAGAATCTAGGGGCCTTGTGTCTGACTGTGTCCTGTGGGTGGGTTCAGGGGACCCTATGTGTGGCTAGGTCCTGTAAATGGGATCAGGGGCGCTGTGTGTGGCTGGCTCCTGTGGCTCGGATCAGGGTCTGGGAAAAGGGATCAGTGTCCTGGGGAAGGGATCAGGGGGACCTGTGCATGGCTAGAATCTGGGGGCCTTGTGTGTGACTGGGTCCTGTGGATTTGATCCGAGGGTCCTGTGACTGGGCTCAGGGAGACCCTGTGTGTGGCTGGCTCTTGTGCATAGGATCAGATGGTCCTGTGTGGTTCGGATCAGGGGGCCCTGGGTGGCTGCGTGTGATTGAGTCCTGTGTTGTTCGGATCAGGGGGCCCTGGGTGGCTGGGTCCTGTGTATTTGGATCAGGGGGTTCTGTGTGGTTTGGATCTGGGGGCCCTGCGTGTGTGGCTGGGTCCTATGAGGTTTGGATCAGGGAGTCCTGGGTGACGTTTATGGCTAGGTCCTGTGTGGTTCGGATCAGGGAGCCCTGGGTGGCTGGGTCCTGTGTGGTTTGGATCAGGGGGCCCTGGGTGGCTGGGTCCTGTGTGGTTCAGATCAGGAAGCCGTGGGTGGTTTGGATCAGGGAGCCCTGGGTGGCTGGGTCCTGTGTGGTTCGGATCAGGGAGCCTTGGGTGGCTGGGTCCTGTGTGGTTTGGATCAGGGAGCCCTGGGTGGTTCGGATCGGGGGGCCCGGGTGGTTTGGATCAGGGGGCCCTGGGTGGCTGGGTCCTGTGTGGTTCGGATCAGGGAGCCCTGGGTGGCTGGGTCCTGTGTTGTTTGGATCAGGAAGCCTTGGGTTGTTCGGATCAGGGGGGCCTGGGTCCTGTGTGGTTTGGATCAGGGAGCCCTGGGTGGCTGGGTCCTGTGTTGTTTGGATCAGGGAGTCCTGGGTGGTTTGAATCAGAGGGCCCTGGATGGATGGGTCCTGTGTGGTTTGGATCAGGGGGACCTGGGTGGCTGGGTCCTGTGTGGTTTGGATCAGGGAGCCCCGGGTGGTTTGGATCAGGGAGCCCCGGGTGGTTCGGTCCTGTGTGGTTTGGATCAGGGAGCCCTGGGTGGCTGGGTCCTGTGTGGTTTGGATCAGGGAGCCCTGGGTGGTTCGGATCAGGGGGCCCCGGGTGGTTCGGGTCAGGGGGCCCTGGGTGGCTGGGTCCTGTGTGGTTTGGATCAGGGGCCCTGGGTGGAACTGGGTCAGAGTTTGGTGTGGTTTAGTCAGGGGCCCTGGGTGGCTGGGTCCTGTGTGGTTGGTTCGGGTGTTGGTTGAGGTCAGGGGCCCGGGTGAGAGGTTAGGGTCAGGGGCTTGAGTGGTTAGGATCCACTTGCAGGGGCCGGGTGGTTCGGATCAGGGGGCCCCGGGTGGTTTGGATCAGGTGGCCCCGGGGGGTTCGGATCAGGGGGCCCCATGTGGTTTGGATCAGGGGGCCCTGGGTGGCTGGGTCCTGTGTGGTTTGGATCAAGGAGCCCCGGGTGGTTTGGATCAGGGGGCCCCGGGTGGCTCGGATCAGGGGGCCCTGGGTGGTTCGGATCAGGGGGGCCCGGGTGGATCGGATCTGGGAGCCCCGGGTGGTTCGGACCAGGGGGCCCCGGGTTGTTCGGATCAGGGGGCCCCGGGTTGTTCGGATCAGGGGGCCCCGGGTGGTTCGGATCAGGGGGCCCCGGGTGGTTCGGACCAGGGGGCCCCGGGTGGTTCGGATCAGGGGGCCCCGGGTGGTTCGGATCAGGGGGCCCCGGGTGGTTCGGACCAGGGGGCCCCGGGTGGTTCGGACCAGGGGGCCCCGGGTGGTTCGGGTCTGGGAGCCCCTGGTGGTTCGGATCAGGGGGCCCCGGGTGGTTCGGATCAGGGGGCCCCGGGTGGTTCGGGTCTGGGAGCCCCTGGTGGTTCGGGTCTGGGAGCCCCTGGTGGTTTGGGTCTGGGAGCCCCTGGTGGTTTGGATCAGGGGGCCCCGGGTGGTTCGGATCAGGGGGCCCCGGGTGGTTCGGATCAGGGGGCCCCGGGTGGTTCGGACCAGGGGGCCCCGGGTGGTTCGGATCAGGGAGCCCCGGGTGGTTCGGATCAGGGGGCCCCGGGTGGTTCGGACCAGGGGGCCCCGGGTGGTTCGGACCAGGGGGCCCCGGGTGGTTCGGGTCTGGGAGCCCCTGGTGGTTCGGATCAGGGGGCCCCGGGTGGTTCGGATCAGGGGGCCCCGGGTGGTTCGGGTCTGGGAGCCCCGGGTGGTTCGGATCAGGGAGCCCCGGGTGGTTCGGGTCTGGGAGCCCCTGGTGGTTTGGATCAGGGAGCCCTGGGTGGTTTGGATCAGGGGGCCCCGGGTGGTTCGGATCAGGGGGAGGAAGCCGATGATCAGCTGAGGGAGGAGGAGCTCGGCTGAGCCCAGCAAGTTGAGCTGCTGCTGCCATGTCCGTGTGAGCCAGCTCGGAGCGCTCTCTCACAGCGAGCCCTGCTCGGGGACAGTCAGCCATGAGCCGGGACACGGGGTGCGGCATGCGGTCGGTGGTGGGCTTCCTGTCCCGGAGGGGGCTGCGCGGAGACCCCCTGCTGAAGGAGGACTTCCAGAGGAGGCGGCTGCAGGCCTGCAGGAACCTCTACAAAAAGGACCTGCTCGGCCACTTCGGCTGTGTCAACGCCATCGAGTTCTCCAACCGAGGGGGGGACATGCTGGTCTCAGGTGGGTGTCATGGCGGAGGGAGGGGAGGGGGGACAGTAAACCTGAGCCCCCCCCAAATCTGTGACAACCAATATTCCGCACCCTAAAAAAACAACCCCGCCCCCTGGCCGCACCCCTCAAACAACTGCAGCCCCCAGTCTGGAAATGGGGGACTAGGAACTCATCAGCCCCCCCAAAATAACAGGCAGGCCCCAGTGCCCACGGTGTGTCACTGTATACACCTCAGGCTGGCAAGGCATTGTGGGTGTTGTAGTTCCTGATCATAGGGAGGGGGGGTCTCTACCTGTGGGCCCAACACTGTCTTAAATTTATTAATTCCCCAAAACACAACTCACCCTAAAACATCACAAGTTAAACTAGAGTTTTCTCCTCACCAATGCTGACATTTCAGGTTGGCAGGAAACATGTAGAGTCAAGGTGATTATTTAATTTTTTTCATTTTTATTTTTTTTCTTCACCCTATTATTGTTATTATTATTATTTTTTTTTTACAAGTACAGTAGTTACATATTCCACAGTGGGTATGTAATAAGCTGCAAGTAAATGACAATGATTAAAAAAAAAAAGAGGTGGAGAGGGTCCTCGCCACATGAGCTTGCAATTTACAGATTTAAATGAGCTCCTTGCGTACCATAACTGCCATAGCAAGTTCTCATAGTTATAGCGCAAACTGTCGGTAGGCGCTGTCCACCTGTTTATGACAATACATTTACGTAGTATTGACATAAATATGGTTCTGCACAAGCCCACTGCTAGCCTCTCACCTGTGGCTTTACTAATGTGAAAGTCAACTTTTTAATCAGGCCATCTAACCTCGCACAGCGATAATAGGCTGAGAGAGTTGGCTATTCTGCCTTGTGTGCACTCAGCCTATTAGTCCCACTATAAGTTGGACAGAGCCCTGATCTCTTCACCAAGACCCAGCCAGCCACAAAAAGAGACCTTTGATCCTTCCCTATTACCCAACCAGCTACACCAGGGACCCCTGATCCTTCCCTATTGCCCAACCAGCCACAATCAAGGACCCCTGATCCATTGCCCCAGGACCCAGCATACCACAAACTGGACCCCTGGATTGCCTTCCCTATTACATAACTAGCCACAAACCGAGCCCTTGAATCCCTTTCCCAGAGCCCAACCAGACACAATCAGGAAGCCCTAATCCCTATACTGTATATCTATATCAGGGTTTAAAATAAGGGAAGAATTGTTAGTCACCAGCGCCAAATTTTCACTCACATGTGGCTAGTGCAGAGTGGAAATTTTGAGCCCGTTTGTGTGTGTGTATTTTCAAACGTCTTTGAGATCTTAGTGGTCTGTTCTTGTTTTAGAAGCTTGCACTCTAGTAGTTTGATTTAGCATTTCTTAGGAACTGTTCTCAGAAAATAAAAGTTCTTCAGTCTTTCACCTCAGGAAAGCATTTATTAAAGTGAAAAGTGCAGCACTGGTAAGTAAATAAACACACCACTGAAGCACTTCCTGGTTATAGTACCATGGTGCTCCAGGCAAGCCCATACATGCATGGGACGTGTATATAATGGTGCCAGAAGTATGCACATATGCCTGCACCATTCAGGAGGTGAAGGGGTTAAAAAAAATTGCATTAGCGTCAGCCTGAGCAGCAATGGGCAGCAGTGATTGGCTCAGAGTGTCAGCTGACCACAGTAAAAGTTTTACTTAAATTTTTCGAGCACTAAGGCTCCCTCGGTGCTGCTAACCTCTCCACCTCCAGCAACGTCACTGAACAGGCCTGACCTCCTCCTCCACGATGGTCCAATCAAATGCTCCTTGTAGAGGTGCGTGTGCGTATTCAATGCTTTCCTATAGTCCAGGGGTTCTCAACCCAGTCCTCAAGTACCCCCTACCAGTCCAGGGATTACCCTGTTGTGTCTAAAGTGTCTTTTTTTCTGAAAACTTCTTAGACAAAACTGGGTAATCCCTAAATCCTGGACTGTTAGGGGGTACTTGAGGACTGGTTTGGGAACTACTGCTATAGGCTATCACATCATGTGACAGCGTAAGCGCCTCCGGTGACTATCAGTATGATAGCCACTACACGTGGACTTTATTAACTTTGCCTTGTAAACTTTGCAGATCCTAAAAAAAAACTGCAATGATATTGCAGAATTTAAAGGAAAGGGCCATTGCACCCACACCACTGAGGCGATGAAGTAGTGTGGGTGACTATAGTGTCCCTTTTAAGATTTGAATGATTTCCTCATTAGGCAGATCATAAGAATTCCACCATAATATTTTTTTTTTTCCTGAATTTTCAATCATTTTTGTGTTTATATGTACCCAAAAATGTGGTAAGGAGCTAGACACCATATTCTGACATTTCTACTAATTATCAATTATGAACCCTGATTAGTTCCACAGCCTTTCCTTGTAAAATCACAGTAGCCCAAAACTTATTACTATTACTTTTGCCCAAATGATTGCTAAATATTTTAATGCAATATTTTAAATATTATCACATCACCACTATATTTATTTGCTAATCACCCCAAAAATTCTTGGCAACCTCCTGATTTGTTATGTTAACATATATCATGGTCCATATGGCTTCATTACAATGAGTCTCAAGACTTTCGAGATTACATTAACAGAGTTATTCACTAAAGTATGAGTTGTCAGAAAGTAAAAGCTAATTTCACATTCTAGGCTAAAATAGCCAAACTGAAAGTGTGACTGATTTGGAGATTTTATTTTCCAATTCAGATATTTTGGACTAGAATTTGACATTCACTTTGAAGTCCCAACAATTCACACTTTAGTGAAAAATCCCAGGAGTTGTGGTGAGTTCACAAGGGGTTTACAAATAGTCCAGTTGTAAAATATATCTGACTTGAGTTAGATATGTTTTTTTTTTTTTCTAGCTGCGAGCTTGAGAATTTTGACACACTGGTTTTAATTCACCATCACTCCAAGTTCAGCAATATTATGTTTATTTATTTTCTGCCTTCTGGGTTTCAGATATTGTCTGTCATTCCAGGCACATACACTTACATGCTTGATTCGTATAGGGTAATTTACTAACATGGGAATTTAAATTCAATTTCAAAAGTTCTGCTGTGACCCTTTTGCACTTAGTGCTGCAATGTAAAACGGGACGGGGGGGACCTATTAACCCTATAGTGCCAGGAAAACAGCTTTGTTTTCCTGGCACTATAGAATCTATTTAAAAAGGACACTATTGACACCCAGACCACTTCATCTCATTGAAGGGATACTGGCACTGGACTCAACTAAGGGACCGAAGGTTTTTTTTAACACTTTCTGCACTTTGGTGGGGGCACCAGATAGGGGGTGCTATAGTTTCCTTTTAAGGCCAGAGAACTGAAAGCATAACTGACTTAGAGAATGTTTCCAGTTTGGCTACTTTGACCTTAAATTTTAAATTCACATTGAATTCTCACTGTAGTGAATAACCCTGTTAATGTAACATGGGACATGCATGTTCTATACTGGCTGAGATTGATGGGAATAATGCTCCAGGTTTGCAGCTCCGGCAGTTCTGCCCTTCTTTGTTTAGGATATGCCAATCAAGGTAAAAGGGAGAAAGAGAGATGCCCTGTGCGCCCAGGATGGCAGCTCGGGGAGAAGTACAGAATTTACTGTGGCACCTAATACTGTGCAACAAGGACTTTGAAAACATGAGCAGCCCTTTAACCCCTTAAGGACCAAACTTCTGGAATAAAAGGGAATCATGACATGTCACACATGTCATGTGTCCTTATTGGGTTAAAATGACAGGCAGATTGTCTATCGTGTGTGTCAACTTCTGGGCCTGCGTTCGTCATAATTGAGTTTTACTTATATTCATTTGTTTCTTTTAAAAGCTGTGTTATAGTTTGCCGTTAATTTATGCAAGACTTTGTGTGCCTGTACTTTAGGAACTGCAGTGCTTGCATAATTTAAAACTGAAGCTGTATGCAGTAAGTGTCAGATGTGCATTACAATAAACAGTTTCCAAAGCAGTAATGCTGTGATAAAGGAAAACTACACTGCCCAAATAAAAGCAACTTTAAAAAAATTACTGTTTAGTAGATGTACCACCAATGAAAAACGTGCATGCATTTCAATAAGCTTTTTTGTTGTTGTTCCTATATCTAAAATAGACCATGAAAGCTGCAGATCTCATATCAGCAGTTTTTTTTTTTTTTTCAAGCCCTCCCCTTCTTACCTAGCCCTGGCTTTCCGTGACTACCCAATCACAGACTTCTCAACACAGCTCAATGAGAAGTCTTTGCAAGGCAGGTGCTCTGAGCAACTGCTTCCTCTTGGGTTTAGCTCCACTGGACGAAACCACCAGGAAGTAACAGGACTTGTTGTCTGACAGCTGGGGTGGTTAAAAAGTTAATTTATAAAAGTGCCAATTTCTATTGAAATCTGCAATTTTCTAAAATGGAAAAAGAGGGTACACACTGCACACATAAATTACAGGAAGCTGAACTTTTGGGGGTCTGGAATGTCCCTTAAAGTAGAGAATGTGTTTTTAAAAGGAAACCTGTGACCATTTTTAAAATTGCAGTCAGAATTTTCGTATTGAAAACCAGAGTAAGGATTATATCACTAACATTTTAGTGCACGCTTTAAACAAGAGCTGAACACTGTAGTTTTATCATCTATTGTATAGATGGTGATGGCTCTTCGCTTGAGAAACCACAACTGCCATCATGCTCAAGCAGCCACAAACATATTTTCATTTTGGATGATGTGTGAGTATCATGGAGCTTGTAATCCCACAACTGGACGAGTGCCTGTAAAATATTTCTTATAAATATTTTACGTTTTAAATTTTATTAACTTCATATGCCTTCCATTTCTGGCCTTTCTTGCCATCTTACAGTGATTACCCTTTTTGCTCCAATAGTACAGGACATGTGTACAACTGAACTATAATTCCCAGAACCCCATTGCCATCCACATAAAATCCTGCTGGAGCATCCCTTCAATCTATATTTTCAGCCATAGTTTTAAAGTGAGCCTGGTGTTACAATATTAACTTACCTGAGATCGCTTACATATACTTTGAATACATCATATATCACAAAGATACATGATGTATTCAATGTAAAATATAAAGATTTATTCACCTCTCCTCCGTTCCAGTGTCGCTTCACAAGAAGAACAACACCCACCTCCTGGCTGTCCTCCCCTCCGTCTCCGGTCTTCAGCGATTTGAAATGCTTGAGGACACTTCCAAAATCAGGGAAGACATCCTCAATGACGCCAGTACACTGGCTATAATTGCCAGCATGCCAGTATCTGAATGGAGTGACATATTGTCATTAAATGTGCTTGTTAGGTGGTTTCCATAGCAACCACAGCATATGCTTTTTATGAATTGGGCTACTGCTTTGGCTTAGAGCGTCAGCTGACAATTCTAGCCAAACAATGGCGCGCCTGCCCATCGGCACTCCGCACCTCCTGTAACTCAGATTCAGAAGCTGGGTGCCACCGGGGGGACCTGGAGATCAGCGCTGGAGGCAACCTTTGGGTTTCCTCTTAAGGCAAGAGTGCGCCTGGGGGCCTTCTAGCACCATAACAACTTCATTTAGATAAGCTTGTTATGGTGACCGGAGTGAACTTTTAAGTCCAAATGCAGACGAGATCAGCAAAAGTCCATTTAAACAGCTAAATTTAATTCAAATTTGAAATTCTGATATTTAGGACAGCCCTCTGGTTGAAATTTAATTATTTGTACCACAAGACCACCATTTAGTGTCTTTAAATCAGTACAGTCATGGTTTTTTTTGTCTTTCCTTTTCAAATGCCCCTTGTATTTATATTCCCCCACTGCCAGTGGCTTGCCGCAGACAAAATCCTGCAAAATGATAATCCACTTTAAAATCAGTAATTCTCACATGCGAATCCCATTTAAAATATAGGATTTGCATATTTATTGAACAATATTATCAGCTGGATTCAGTTTGAATAAATCTTTTTGCAGGCAAACCCTCAGGAACTGGTGTTTGTCCACTGGATGCACAAACAGCCAGGGGAAAATGGTTGCAATAATAAGAAAATGAAATACATTTATAATTTAAATGCAATAGCCTAAATAAATATTTCAGGGTTATCTTTGAACCCTCTGGAGTTCATAATTTTTCTTCCAGATTTTTCAAACAGTAGCTCCTATTAGAATTTCACATCTGTACAATAATAAATCTTGTGAACACGGTCCATATTTACCTTTTCAAATGGAAGTTAGATTATTATTGATGATTTGGATAGACAGCATCTGAACTTTATTGAATAACCTTAATCGTAAATTTTAAATTTTAAGCCACAATAGAAACCTTTTCCAAGTTACCTGTGTTTTCAGTACAACTATTTAGAATGTATTCCCAGCAATCCACAGTATAGTAAGGAGCAAATGGAATAGCTAATTTGGAAACTTTTTTTATTTTATATTGTCTATTTTAGCCTCATTTATTTTAAAATTCAGTATTTTGTAAACAAAAAAAAAAATCTGCTGTTGACTTCATCTGTTAATTATGGAAAAGAATACATCTGTATGTCAATAAGATTTGGTTAAACAAAATGTTTTATTGTCATTCAACGTTGTGAAGAAAATGGACTTTTAATTGACATTTTATTCAGTATTTTTCCTGTGTACTACCTGTATAGTGAATGTATTAGTTCGTTAGTTTGAAACTACCGAACGCCGACCACCCTCCTGGCTTATTAACTACAAAGGAACCAGCTATTAAGTGCTCCCTGGGTGGCCGCTGTTCGTATAGCCGAACGCCACGTGGAATAGAAAACGGCGGCCATCTTGTTCGCACGAGGGGAGTCAGCGGGACTTGGTCGTCGAGTGTCTGGAACTAAAATCTGACACTCGACCCCGCGAACCACCGCTGAAACTACCGAGCGCCAGCTTCTTGTATTTCCCGAACAGCCAGGGAAGCGCCGTTTGGTAGTTCTATGCGAACAGACAAGGGGAGCAATCGCTGCTATGAGCCAGGGGGATCCATTCGGGACTTTTGTTCGGTTTTTACAGATTTGTGAATTGACCGACAGCACATGCTGAATTCATGGAACTGTTTTGGGCAGGAGCCTCGTGTGTGGTCGGTAAAAGGGACCCTCCACACTTTTTCAGAACCCCTGAACCGATCTGGGTGAAATTTGGATATGTTTGTCCCCCAGATCGGGGCTATCAGGGGATATGTAATTTGTGGGGATACCTTGCGGGGAAAGGGGTGTTCTAAGTTTTGGGGAAATTGTGTGCTCTCTGGCTGGAGATAATTAGAAACATAGAAACATAGAATGTGACGGCAGATAAGAACCATTCGGCCCATCTAGTCTACCCAATTTTCTAAATACTTTCATTAGTCCCTAGTCTTATCTTATAGTTAGGATAGCCTTATGCCTATCCCACGCATGCTTAAACTCCTTTACTGTGTTAACCTCTACACAGATAAGTTATTCCTTAACTTATCTCAATATCTCCCAGGCAGAGAGAGGGTGTGTATTACTGTAAATCTGTATGTTGATTGGCTGTTGTGTTTGTTTGCTGTGGGAGGTCCTCTTGCAGGAGGATTTCTCATAGAAGCCCGTGTGTGTCAATAAATTTCATTCCTGTTACACCCTTCATGAAGTCTAGGCTCATGTTTGGGGGATATTCTACTTGCTGGGAAGAATCACCTTGGAACTGCATTTCATCTACCTTATTCCTCTACTCCCTGCTGCAGCTATAATCACTCATGCACAGCTGTTAGGAAAGGTAACAAAAGACCGCAGTACCATAACCACTGCAGGTCTTAGCAAACGTAAAATACTGGTACAGATCAAAGGGTATATACAGGGTTTATTCATTTGGTTTATAAACATATAACCTATTGGTCTGTTTTATTTTGAAAATCACAAATCTTAATCTATTCCTCCTGTGGAAGGCTGCAAAGGCTCAGATTAGTATTTTGCAGATGGAAGTCATTATTATATAAATACACATCCAAATAAACTGTAGTGTCAGACAACACATTTCCTGAGTTCTGTTTGGCTTTGTGTGGTTATCATATTGGGTTTGGAATAGAATTTTTTAAACCAGATAATTATTCTTTAAAATTTATATACAAATTAGTATTAATATAGAAAGTTTGTATCTAGATTAATATTGTTATATAAAGTTTGTATCCAGATTCGTATTGTTATAGAAGGTTTGTATCCAGATTCGTATTGTTATAGAAGGTTTGTATGCAGATTCGTATTGTTATAGAAGGTTTGTATCCAGATTCGTATTGTTATAAAAAGGTTTGTATCCAGATTCGTATTGTTATAGAAGGTTTGTATCCAGATTCGTATTGTTATAGAAAGTTTGTATCCAGATTCGTATTGTTATAGAAGGTTTGTATCCAGATTCGTATTGTTATAGAAAGTTTGTATCTCGATTTATTATTTTGTTATAGAAAGTTTATATCCTGATTCGTATTGTTATGTCAAAAAATTTATCCATCTTAACTTCAGTCACAACAGTTGAAATGGTTGTAAATGTTAAGATTTTATGTGTGTGTGTGTGTGTGTGTGTGTTACTGTTCCTTTAAACTGCACTCTGATGGCTCTTATCTTTTTGGATCTGTATTTTCCAGACGTCACACCCATTGTATATACATACATGGTGTAAACAAACCACCGAACCACAGTACATGTTTCAGTTATGTTGTAAAGTAAATAAAGCAGTTGACATAATTAAATGTATCCCTGAAAAATTCTAGAACTGACTCTAATATTACACATAATAAAGAACAATTATCAACCACATCTCCTCTTCTATTTGTCTGATGGCTAAAATAGATAATCGTATTTATATCTCTCTGGCCGTCTGCTTTAAGCAGATTTAACTCCATCAGTGGGCGCATATGACCAGCTGAGGATGATATACAATAACTTAGAATTCTATGTATCAGGAAGAAAAAGCTTATTTAATATCTGCGACATCACTATCCAAAAAAAATATCTGCCTTAACTAAGGATAACTACATCTTTCCTCTGCAATTTTGGTATTCTTTCTTCATTTAGTATATTATAGATTTTATTTTAAAGTATCTGATTTTTTTTGTGTGTGTGTGTGTAGCTATTTATATTATTTACAGAAACACAATAACATACGAATACGCATCTCTAACCTAAGAGTGTGTTACTCCCACACAAACATACACACCTTAAATATGTAAATGATTATTATTGCTATTTATATAGCGCCAACAGATTCCGTAACGCTTTACAATATTGTGAGAGAGGGATTTAACTATAAATAGGACAATTACAAGAAAACTTACAGGAACGATAGGTTGAAGAGGACCCTGCTCAAACGAACTTACATTCTATAGGAGGTGGGGTGTAAGACACATTAGGACAGGAAATAGCAATCAAACAAGGTGGGAGTGAAGCAGAGCTGGAGGAGAGAGTATGAGACAGGTATGTGAGGTGGAGGTTACTCTGGAAGCTTTCCATAAGCTTCCCTAAAGAGATGGGTTTTAAGGCACTTCTAAAACCATTGAAGACTAGGGCAGAGTCTGGCGGTAGGCAGGCTATTCCATAGGAAGGGAGCCGCCCGTGAGAAGTCGTGTGAGTTGGTCGTACAGGTGCGAGCAAGGGGCAGAGCGGAGAGACCGATTAGGGGCATACCTTTAGATCTGTGAAGAGATATAAGAGGGGCTAGAATCATTCAATGCTTTATAGGTATCGGTTAACACTTTTAATTGACTCCTATAGGATAAAAAAGCCAATGTAAGGACTGGCAGAAGGGTGAGGTGTGTGAGGACCGACTAGACAGGAAAATCAGTCTGGCGGCAGCATTCATTACAGACTGTAGCGGGGCAATACGGCTATTGGGAAGACCAATTAGGAGATGGGTACAATAATCCATGCAGGAAATTACTAGAGCATGGACAAGCTCCTTGGTAGCATCTTGCACAAGAAAGGAGCGGATGCGGTCTATGTTTTTAAGATGGAATCTACAGGATTTGGCAGCATACTGGATGTGAGGCCAGAATCAAGTATGACACAAAGACAGCGTGCTTGCAAGGATGGACTGATCTGGATACCACTAACTTGAAGGGAAAGATAAAGAGAAGGATCAGTATTAGGAGGAGGAAAGACAAGGAGCTCAATTTTAGAGATTGCGTTTCAGAAAGCGGGAGGACATCCAGTCACAAATGGAAGAAAAGCAAGCAGGTATATTTGAGTGTCATCAGCGTACAGGTGGTAGAGGAATCCAAATGAGGTAATATGTTTGCCAGGAGAGGCAGTATAAAGAGAAAATAGAAGGGGATGAAGGAAAGAGCTTTGGGGGACTCCAACCCGAGACAGGACAAGGGGAGGAGGTATCATTAGAAAAGGAGACTCTCAATGACCATTGGGAGAGATAAGAGGAAAACCACGAGAGGACAAAGTGATTGAAGAGTTTGAAGAAGGAGAGCATGATCAACGGTGTCAAAGGCAGCAGAGAGGTCAAGAAGAATTTGTATGGCGTAGTGGCCTCTGGGATAAAAGGTTTTAGTCACATTTAGTTTCCTGGTGCACTGGTCTCGCCATGGCTGCTCCTCATCTGCCTGAGATTGTCATTACTGTTGCCCTTAGCACTGAGAGCCTAATATGCATGTACGCTAATTGCAATGCTGCACAAGTCAGCATCTCCTATAAGAGTTATATTGACTCTGTGCACATCTTTGGGGAGGTGTATGAGCAGAATCTAGGCTTGTTGCTCTCTGTCCAACTTGTCCTGTTGCAAATACTTGTCTGTTGTTCCACCTATCGTACAGTGCTGCTGAAACTGTTGGAGCTTTAGTACCACACCAGGAAGCACCTCTACTGGCTTTTCTGAGAGTCTGCCACTAATGGTGGCTGTAGGGACAAATGTAAGCACTAAATTTTCTAAGAAACACCACCTGCAGTGTAATAGTTTTGGTACTTTTGGTGTCCTTTTGAGTAAACCTGGTGACATCAAAGCAAGCCCTTGGACAGAGTGTTTCTGATCTTGTACCAATTGCTGAATGCAGATCTTTGTGACACAGATGAGATTTGTGAAGGCATGGGTATTGATAGTGCTCTCCTTCTCATACCCTGTCATTTAACCCCTTAAGGACACATGACATGTGTAACATGTCATGATTCCCTTTTATTCCAGAAGTTTGGTCCTTATGGGGTTAAAGGGACACTCCAGTGCCAGGAAAACAATCCGTTTTCCTGCCACTGCAGGTCCCCTTTCCCTCCCACCTCCCATCCCTGGTTGCTGAAGGGGTGAAAACCCCTTCAGTCACTTAACTGAAACCCCCGCCAATGTACCTCGGCGGTGGTTTTGAGTCGCCGCTCCTCCCCTTCCTTACGTCAGCCGGTTGGCGAGACTGATCCCGCCCACCGGCCGTGGGGGACCTAATGCGCATGCGCGGCAATGCAGCGCACGTGCATTAGAGCTCTCCATAGGAAAGCATTTAAAAATCCTTTTCAATGCTTTCCTATGGGGAATTGAGCGACGCTGGAGGTCCTCACAAACCTGTGCTATAGACACGGAAGTGCCCTCTTGTGGCTATCTACTAGGAGGAGTTAACCCTGCAAGGTAATTATTGCAGTTTATAAAAAAAACTGCAATAATTACACCTTGCAGGGTTAAGGGTAGTGGGAGTTGGCACCCAGACCACTCCAATGGGCAGAAGTGGTCTGGGTGCCTGGAGTGTCCCTTTAAGTGTATGACAGTTAGATGTTTTTGTTTTTTTTACACCTTTATGGAGCTTGCTTGACTCCTTCACAATGTTCTTCTGCATTCACATATAAACTTGTAGAATAGGATACTGGAATAGTAAGATTTGAAGTTGAGCTAGATGATAATTGCCACCTGGTGTGCTATACCACGAAATCTGCATGTGAGCTGGATGGTCCTGGAGTAGAACCTCAAGCTACTCATGATACAGCAGAAGCAAATATTGTACGTGGAGAAGAGGATGCACCAATCAGCCTCTTCTCATAGACATACATTCGCTAATTGCATATCTATGGGGAGCATTTTGTGTCTTCACACAGAGAGTGAAGATGCCAATCACCATTCCTGCAAAGATTGCAGGACCACAGCAGGAAGTACCTCTAGTGGCTGTTAGTGACAGCCCCTAGAAATATCCTTAGTGACAAAATCAAACACTGCCTTCTCTTGGAAAGGCAGTGTTTACAATTGTCAGACTGCAGGGGACATGCATTTTGCAGCAGGACCTGCACTGGGTTGCAGTGGTTTTGGTGCTTAGTGTACCTTTCATTTTTATTGAAATTACGACATAATCAAAAGACAAAGGCAAATTAGGGACTACTGTGTCTCATGGTGCAAGCCCACAATTGACAATTCTTCCTAAAAAGAGAAGCATCTACCATCAAGTCTTGAAAGTTTTTTTTGGGGGGGGCGGGGGGGGGGTTGGTCTCTTTCTCCCAAATTGCAGGATACGTTCTATGGAGGATCCTGTGGTCTTGCATTCATTTTACACTTTGCAAAAAGCAAAACATAGCCACGGGTTGAGAGTAATTGGCAGAAACCCAGGCAGTGTGCTGTGTCATCCTCAGTGTGAATCATTGGAAAGGGACGGGTTTCTGGCAAACTGCATCAGTACATTAAAGAAAATATCAGCTATAGTGAGTACAAAGGTAATAGTAAACCCTATGCTGTAAGTCCAGTAAGAAAGGTAAACATCCATTAGGTAAACAATCCTTCCAGAATGGTTGTGAAATACAATCACACATTTATCGTAATATATTGTCTAGAAGAAAATATGATTAATGGGAAACTACAGGCACCCAGACCACTTCAGCTCTTTGAAGTGGTCTGGGTGCACTGTCACAGTCCCTTTTAAAGGGATACTATAGTGCCAGGAATACAAAGCTGTATTCCTGGCACTTTAGCTTCCTCTGCCTTCCTGCGTCCTTGTCCGCCCCCCACTTCTTCCCCGGTGAATAAAGGGTTAAAACCCCTTTATTTACTTACATTATCCCAGCGCCAATGTCCCTCGTTGTGGCCCTGCCCCCGCTGACGTTCTGCGATGAGTGGGCGCTAATAAAAATGCTCGAAAAATGCAGCGCGCGCATTAGACCTTCTCATAGGAAACCATTGAATCAATGCTTTCCAAAGGGGGGGGGGGAAATCTGACGCTGGATGTCCTCATGCCGAGCGTGAGGACGTTCAGCAGCAGATACTGAACCAAAGGTCCATTTTGATTCAGGAAGCCCTCTAGTGGCTTTCTGGGAGAGAGCCACTGGGGGCAGACTTAGAGCTGCAATGTAAACATTGCAGTTTTTCTGGCACTGCAATGTTTTACATTACAGCACTACGTGAAAAAGGGACACTGTACCCAGACCACTTCAGTTAGCTGAAGTGGTCTGGGTGCCTATAGTGTCTCTTTTAACCTTGCAATTATAAATATTGCAGTTATTAATTAACTGCAATAATTACCTTGCATGGTTAACTCCACCTCTAGTGGCTCTCTACCAGACCAGACTACCAAATTTAAAGTATAGGCTCACGTAAAAGACATTTTCTACTTTCATGATTGGTTAATTACTCGACTGCTCAGCAATGCGTAATCTGCAGCGCTGCACTGTTGGTAATCCATAGCTTCTCTAGGAAGTAAATTCTGTGCAAAAAAAGAGACCGATTTACATTGACTACTGAAGCTAGTCAAAGTTTTTATGGGCTACTTACCTTTTTCCAAGCCCCCCCTGCACTGGTCACCTCATCTCCTCTCACCACGTCATCAAGGAGGCATGGCTTCCTCCGGCAATGGTCCAATATTTTAACTTGAAGGGTTAGAATGACAGGACCACTGCACCCAGTCATTGAGATTATGTGGTCTGGGTGCCTATAGTGGTCCTTTAAAGGACCACTATAGGCACCTAGACCACTTCAGCTTAATGGAGTGGTCTGGGTGCCAGGTCCAGCTAGGGTTAACCCTTTTTTCTCTAAACATAGCAGTTTCAGAGAAACTGCTATGTTTATATTAGGGTTAATCCAGCCTCTAGTGGCTGTCTCATTGATTTTCACAGTGAGAAGAGACTGGCTGAATGCGCGCGTGGCTCTTGCCACGCATACGCATTCAGCCGAGGAGGAGGAGGAGAGCTCCCCGCCCGGCGCTGGAGAAAGAGGTAAGAGGTAAACGAGTATGTTTTCCTAGCACTATAGTGGTCCTTTAAGAGCTCTACTTTAGTGGTGTGGGAAACATTGCGGAAGAAATAAAATGCAGTATAGGCACAAGTCAAATTGGGTGTTAGACATTATTTTGTATAAGTAAAATACAGAGGTGAATTAAAGTTCACCCAAGAGAGGAGTACTGCATGTGAATAGTTAGAACAAACAGGCTGGTATTTTTCTCTAGACTATTTGAGGCCAAAGACTGTCCAACGTAAAAGGAGGGTACAATTTATGTTCTGAGAAACAAAGATAGTAGGTGTCTAAATCTAAAATTACAGCCTTGAATTCCAGGTGTTCGTGAACCATCTCAGTTCTGGTTTGTCTGTTGTTTTTTTTAACCAGACCAAGGTTAAGATAACTACCTCCTCAGAGAATCCATATAATCTCTAAATGCTAATTGCAATATTTTCAGAATAAGTAATTTAAAGGAATAAGAGCAGCAGATATACATCATAGGACTTTATTTTGACTTGGGAAAAATATTGGAATACTAAGTAAGCCTTGAACCTAAAAAGTTTGGGAACCACTGAATTATTTATTTTTAATTTTTTTTTTTATTCTTTCTTTATTTATTCCCTGTACACAGAAACATATTCAGGGATAGAATATCAAGCATATAATAACATTGCCAACTTGTCACAAGGTAATAGTCTGACCGGTGAGCTGAGGGTATTATGGGTTTTAAAACCGTTATAATCTCGTATAGGTGGTCTAGCTTGTGTATGGTCTGTGACCTGGGTGGTGCTGTGAGGTAACAGTCCCCGCTAGTAAGGTGCATGGCCGTCTGTGCGTAGTCACTTGGATCGGGGGGCCCCAACCATGAGGTCGTAAGACCAATGAAAATATAGGGGAACCACTGAATTAGTGTATTTTTACATATACTGCTACACATAGTCTAAGATAATCAAAACACATTTACATATACTAAGAGACTATTTCATTATAAAAGTGTCTATTTTTAAAGGACCATTATAGTCACCTAGACTACTTAATCTCAATAAAGTGGCCTTTGTGTAGTGTCCCTGTCTATAAAGTCTGCAATGTAAAAAAAAATGCTTACATTACAGGGTTAAAGGGACACTACAGGCACCCAGACCACTTCAACTCATTGAAGTGGTCTAGGTGCAATATCCCTTTTTGAGAAACTGCAATATTTACATTGCAGGACTAAGACTGCCTCTAGTGGCTGTCTACCTGATAGCCACTAGAGGGACTTCCTGGATTCTAGCAGAAATCCCTTAAATAAGTCGTCTAAACGACGCTCTGCATGAGGACTTCCAGCGTCAGGGAAATCCCCATAGGAAAGCATTAATACAGTGCTTTCCTATAGGTAAGGCCTAGGGTGCGAGTGGCGCTCGCGTGCATGCTCATTAGGACCTAATCAACTGACGTCAGAGGAGACGGAGTACCGTCCCAGTGCTGAGGGAGATTAGAGCTGGAAAGGGGTGAGTAAATAAAGGGTTTGTAAACCTTTATGTGCCACAAGTGGGAGGAGTGGACCAGAGGGCAGTATGACGGCCACTAGAGGCACTGAGTAAAACTCGATCACGTGGCATGGAAGCCCATTGGAAGTCATTGATTCAATGCTTTATATCGGAAAGTTTAAATATTTCCGAGGCACTCCCTGTACATGAGCTTTAGGTCCCCGGTGTGCATGTATATGGAGCATTAGATTGGAGTATCTTAACCCTTTCTTTGTCGAATGAGGGGGGGGGGGGCACAATAACGTTAGGAATTCAGATTTGTATTTATAATGTTATAGTGTTGCTCTAACAAAATAAAATGGCATATAGGTGATGTATTGATCAAGGTATTTACTTTAAAATAACACATGGGAGATGTATTAATCAATTTAGTTAAAGGTACGCACTATGGTTTGTTTTCTGTGGTGCAGTGGGGATACGCTCAGGTGGGTGTAAGAGCTTGGGAAATAGAAGCATCTTTTGCCTTTTTTTTTTTAGATACTTTCTTAGGACTCGGTACAAAAAATAATTTAAATGTCACAAATGACACAGAATCTTCAATCTATCTAAGTCTGCAGCGGGATTCTCCATTCACCTATAGACCTGACGTTGTAACCTGTAATATTATACAGCTCTCCATAAAATAATACTGACAAATAATTATTTTTTTCTATTTTTTTTTTTTCTATTTTTTGTTAATCACATTGAATGATAGGTTTGTTTATTATAGGTCATTTCATTTATTTGCTACCATTGTTGTTTGTTGAATCCAGTTGTGTGTGCATTACTGAAGTGGTATGTTTTACAGGTGGAGATGACCGTCGTGTTTTATTGTGGCATATGGAGCAAGCCATTCACTCTAGAGCTAAACCTATCCAAATGAAGGGGGAGCATCATTCTAATATCTTCTGCCTTGCGTTCAACAGCACCAACACAAAGATTTTCTCTGGAGGTAAGTACTCAGTCTAACACCTAATATAGTTTAACATCTTTTCAATTGCATCTCTTAAAAATGCCTTTTGTGACTTACCTGAGTCCAGCGCCGATATCCCTCAGCGCTGGCTCTGCCAAAAGTCGCTTAACGGCCCAGAAGTCCCTCTAATGGCTGTCTAGTAGACAGCCACTAGAGGTTGAGTTAACCCACAAAGGTAATTATTGCGGTTTATTAAATTAATAACTGCAATAATTACATTTGCAGGGTTAAGGGACCTGGGACACTGCATTCAGACCACAGCAATGAGCTGAAGTGGTCTGGGTGCGTATAGCGTCCCTTTAAAGATCATAAGATTCTAGATATTAAATATATTGAGAGAAAAAAAAAACCAAAAACATTAAGTAATTATTTCCAGCTTGTAGGACAGTGTTTCAGCATTCAAGTGTAAAGTACACCTCTGCATTAATTGTGTTCCCCAGGGCAATTCATTGAAGTCTGAAATGTTGGCAGTTCAAAATGAATTTAACATTGGTGAAGTATTCAATGTCAGCTATCATGGCCCAAGAATCGAAATTCACTTTGAATTCCTGATAATTTAAACATTACGTGAATAACTCTGGCAGAATTCAGTGTTGCTTGGTTTGAGCTCAATACATCATGGGAGCACACAGCCCCCTTTATCTAGGCGGGGGGGAATCCCAGGGTAGAATAGTATCTTTACATGTGCTAGCTACATTTTACAGCTTTTTTTTCTTTCTTTATATTTCTTTAAATTTTCATTTTATTACAATTACATATCACACAATTCCATAATAACATATATATATATATATATATATATATATATATATATATATATATATACATATACCAGACCTTTCCAATTAACAATACATACTAATCTAAATACACCTATCAAATTGGGCAGGTGTGCATATAAATAACAATCTCACATTGACAAAAACATAACACATATATACATTCATTCACATTTATCAGAGTGGGGAAAAAATTACCGTATATACTAGAGTATAAGCCGAGTTTTTTGGCACATTTTTTGGCTTATACTCGAGTCAATGTCTGTATTATGGCAACTTACATTGCCATAATACAGACCAGGACCGCCAGGCTCATTGCAAGCCCTGCGGTCCTGTTGGGGGCTGGCAGCGAGCTGTTACTTACCTTCCTGCAGCTCCTGTCAGCTCCCTTCTCCTCCGTGCAGCTCCCCTGTCAGCTCCGTTCTGCTCCCAGTGTAAATCTCGCGACACCCGCGGCCGTCAGAGCGTTGCCATGGTGACCCGTGGCAACGCTCTGCATGGCACACTGACCGCAAGGTTTACACTGGGAGCAAAACGGAGCTGACAGGGGAGCTGCACGGAGGAGAAGGGAGCTGACAGGAGCTGCAGGAAGGTAAGTAACAGCTCGCTGCCAGCCCCCCTCCTACACAGCCCATCCACTGGACCACCAGGGATTCACATAGCCCCCCTGCCTGGCCAGGCAACAGGGAGGGGGGACAAAAAAATAAAATAAAAAATAATACAAATATTAAAATAAAATAATAATAAAATAATAATATTAAAATAATAAAATAAAATATTATAACCCTAAACGGCAGACAGATGGGGTTACAGCACACCCAGTACCTAGATACCTCCCAAGCTATAGAAATACCTCACGAACACAGAGGGAAGAGAACACCGTAGAGCGATACACTGCACCACTGAGCTCAACACCTCTAGGAACAGCTGATTGTAACATAGGCGGATTTATCCCATAGCACACATCCTAACGGAGCAGACAACTCCAACTAGCTAGACACACTCCAGGTATCAGAAGACCTCTACATAGCTATTATCAGAAACGTATTTTTAGTACATATTGGCCACTCTACGGCTATTAGTATTACCCAGCTACAACATGTGTATTTATTGCGCGTAGTTAACTTAGCGATTGTTAGCATATTATACTCTATAAATATTAAATGTGCAACTCCTCAGATATGCCACTGAAAGTTTTGATATTGCTCACAGTAGCTGTCGTGGCACTGCAAGCATGTATCCAAATGAACAAGAAAAATAAAGAATTATAAAAAAATTATAATATTAAAATAAAAAAATTAAAATAATAAAAATGCCCTCCCCTCACACAGTTTACACAAACTGTGTTATATACACACACTGCATTCACACACACTGCATTACATACACACACACACACTGTATTCATTATATACACACACTATAAATAAATATTCAATTAATATAATTTTGGGGGGATCTAATTTTATTTAGAAATTTACCAGTAGCTGCTGCATTTCCCAACCTAGGCTTATACTTGAGTCAATAAGTTTTCCCATTTTTTTGGTGGTAAAATTAGGGGCCTCGGCTTATATTCGGGTCGACTTATACTCGAGTATATACGGTAATCCTAAAAATTATTGCGATAAGAGAATCTGCTATATTCTCTCCATTAAACATTCAACCGAACCCATTTCCCTCGGCGCCCCTCCCTCTCTATTGCCATCTTGCCTATTCATATAAAATCGCTAATTGCTATCTTATCTTCCTGTCGATCTTATTCCTATAGCGGTAAATAATGTTTTCTAAATAATACAGAGTCCTGACTATAAGTATTACCACTAAAATCCACCATATATTAGTAGGAATTTCTCCAACCGCATCTTATATATCCCTTTCTTGTAAGTTACACTTGCCACATTATTTAGAAGATTAGTTTCCGTAGTCAGTTGAAATTTGATTTGATTAATCAAATGACTCTTTTGAAAAGGAGTGGATAATTTCCAACTTCTTGCAATTATAATTTTGACCACCACTAGACAGTGCAACGCCATGCAGATTAAATTTTAGAGATTTTAAAGTTCCAGTTTAAATGCTAAAGAGCTGTGGCAGGGTTCTCTTCTAATTTGTTATTAGTTAGTTTGAAAAGAATATTGAAGGCCCATGACCACAGCGGTTTCACTCCCGGGCAAGTCCACCAAATATGTATATAAGTTCCAGCACAAGAACCACATCTCCAACATGTATCATCAAAATGTGGAAACCTTTTCGATATTCTACACGGAGTATAGTACCATTTATATAGCACTTTAAAATGACATTCTACCAAATTAAAGCTATGTACATTCTTGGTCGTATGGGCTAATGAAGTACACCAATCCTTTTCTGAAATTCCTATTGCTAGTTCCTTTTCCCAGTACCTAATAATTTTACTGGGGCCTTCATTTAACACCTCTAACAATAAATTAGCAGTCGAGGTAGCCTTATTAATGGATTTATAGCAAAATATAGATTTTAAAGATTTAGAGATTGGGGATGTAGAATCAATAATAGAACTAACCAAATCATTTTTGATACGTAAATAAGTAAAAATTTCTCTAGAAGACAGCTGGAAATTAACTACAATCTGCTGAAATGGCATTATATTATCCCCAGACATAATATCTGAAATTGTAGTTATGCCTTTATTCTTCCAGCAAGTAAGTGATAGATCTTCTACATTTTGTTCTAAAACAATAAGACTGCAGGTCCTTGGTATGCAATTCAGACAACCTAATTGTTTGTTTTTTGATTTCTTGCCATACATCTAAAAGTTGACTTAAAGGGACACTATAGTCACCTGAACAACTTTAGCTTAATGAAGCAGTTTTGGTGTATAGAACATGCCCCTGTAGCCTCACTGCTCAATCCTCTGCCATTTAGGAGTTAAATCCCTTTGTTTATGAACCCTAGTCACACCTCCCTGCATGTGACTTGCACAGCCTTCCATAAACACTTCCTGTAAAGAGAGCCCTATTTAGGCTTTCTTTATTGCAAGTTCTGTTTAATTAAGATTTTCTTATCCCCTGCTATGTTAATAGCTTGCTAGACCCTGCAAGAGCCTCCTGTATGTGATTAAAGTTCAATTTAGAGATTGAGATACAATTATTTAAGGTAAATTACATCTGTTTGAAAGTGAAACCAGTTTTTTTTTCATTCAGGCTCTGTCAGTCATAGCCAGGGGAGGTGTGGCTAGGGCTGCATAAACAGAAACAAAGTGATTTAACTCCCAAATGGCAGTGAATTGAGCAGTGAAATTGCAGGGGAATGATCTATACAGTAAAACTGCTTTATTTAGCTAAAGTAATTTAGGTGACTATAGTGTTCCTTTAATATGGTAGATTTTACTATTAGTCTTGACATCTTTCCAGCTTAATGTATAGATTAAAATGTATCCATTAATGTTACATCATTATCCACATGCTCCTGTTGTAATCTACAGAATGCTAACAATTGAAGATTATACTAGCTTTAGTGTACTAATAATCTTAATTTTAGTAATGACAGGAGGCGAATATTTGCATATCTTTCTTTACTCAAAACTCCAGCAGCATAGTAACATAAACAACCAATCAGAAAAAAGATATAATGCCCATAAAAGGCCCTGTCTATGACATCACTTCCTCTTTCTTTGAAGCGAAACAATAAATAGCAATAGGAGACATAATCATATTACGTCAACAGTTCAACAACATATTAGAATATCCAACTCCACTAGTTCCGCGATGCAGAGGTATAGAAGGTGAATCTTTGTCACGATGAGAAGACGTTCACGCTGCAAGAAAAAGAAAAAGGTGAAAGGTATCTGGCGTGATAACTTGTCCGCATACAATAAGCATTAAGCATCTGACATACCAGCGAACATTAGAGTGTGAAACATATCAATATATATTTATTCTAACGCAATGATATTTAAGAATCTATAAACACAACATAATGCAAGGTTCACGTCTAATATTCAGCCAATACAAGACCCACAAGATACAGGTCTAAGTAGCAAACATACAAACCATACGTACTTACCTTCCTGAACATAAAGGACATATTCTGTTCAATACGAGGAACATGGGAGGGATTCTACAGGGTGGGAAATATTCGCCTCCTGTCATTACTAAAATTAAGATTATTAGTACACTAAAGCTAGTATAATCTTCAATTTTACCACATGACAGGAGGCTTCATATTTGCATTTTTAAAGCTTTGAATTGACCAATGTGAAGGAAGCATGAGATGTTTGCCGAAAATAGAACGTTCTAAACGTACTCTCTCGCGCTCAGTCCGCGCAGCGTATAATGTCGGCTAGGGAAGCGTCGGCCGAAAAGGTTTGTGAGGCCGCTGCTCCCCTGACCGAGTGGGCTCCGAAACAAGGTTCGACGCTAAAGACAAAACCCAGCGGACCCATCTGGCCAGTGTTGCGGTAGACAGCGGTCCATGAGGGTTTACGTAAGAAGTCAGAAGGTGATCCGTCGAGTGAGTTCGAAGGGGGTAGAGATATTGGTGTACCCCATTAGCGTTCTGACCACGCATAGTGTGGCGTCTGACACAAAGCATGGGTATGACACTGAAGACGAATCAGACTTAGTTTGTCTCGACATGGTAAAGGTAACCCCGTCTGGTGTGAGAGAGAAACCATCCATATCGCAAGCCCTAACGTCCGCCACCGTCTAAATGAGGCGAGGCATAATAAGAAGGCTAGTTTGGCTGAAAGTTGCTTCAGTGACCAACAAGGATTGTCCGGCCATTCCCTAAGGAATCTCGGCACCACATCCACCTGCCAGAGGCGTGAATATTTGGGTGCCGGGATCTCGACAATTCGGCACCCCGCAGTAGTCGACAAACCAGTGTATCTTGACCTACTGGTCTGCCCTGTACCGGAACGTGCGCCGCCCACATGGCGGATCTGATCATGTTGAGGGATCGATATGACCGACCCAACGAGACCAGGTGTGACAGATAGTTGGGGATCAGTGGGACAGGTGCGGTAAAGGGATCGGAATCCCTTTCCCCACACCAATCACTCCAGGCCGACCAGGCAGAAATATAGCCTTTCCTGGTGCCGGGAGCCTATGAGTCCCATAGGAGGTCTTAGTTGATGCAATAGGTCGTGATCTGACCAGGAGCCCCTGAAGCCGTCCAGGCAACTAGTGTCAGTTGTCCTTCCATGACAAGGGAGTGGGCTCCCCCTCGAGGTCCCGTCAGAAGTAGAGGGAAGGTAGGGAGTAGTAGAGGGTCTTCGCGAGACATCTCCAGGCGATCCGGGAAATCACGGTTGGCCCTGCCCGAGGGGTGTCATGAGCAGGAGCGATATCTTGTGAGTGTGTGTGTGTATTGAAGCACCTTTGCTATTGTGGAGAAACGGCTGGGTCGCGTTTGCAGGGGTTCATCCATCGCCCCGTATCCGAAGGAAGAGTCAAAGATCGTTTTGCCAATCCAAGTTTGTATGTGAAGTAATCACCATCGAAATTCCATCCTCACTTCCGCCGACAGTGGGATCCAGTGGTCATATGAGTGAGCGGTGCGTACGTATCTCACCATCAGTCGTAGTGGGCCAGGGAATAACGCTTGTATGGAGGAGGAGAGGAGGAGAGGAATCCCACAATCCGACAGTTATCCTTATAGAGGCGCTCTTTGCCGTAGACTGACGCGGAACATAGTTCTCCAAGCCGATGTCGAAACTGAGGAACTGGCCCGATTCAGATGGAGAAGCGATCTTTGTCTGTGTACAACAAAAAATCCCTGGAGTCCCGAAAGTGAACGACAAATCTGTCTGCAAATGTAGTCTGGATTCGTAAAGAATCAGCAAGTCTTCCAGGTATACGAGGCATCGCACGCCCAAATTTGCGGATGTGTGCCCTCACTGGTTACAGTAGGTTCGCGAGCACCACGGAGTCGTAAACTGCCGTGTTTGTCCTCACCATCGGGATCGGAGGAAAACTTCGGCAGTCCAGGGCAACGGGTACCGACAAGCGTGCGTCCTTGAGGTCTAGATGTGTAAACCAGTCGTTATCGCCTAGGAGGTCTTGTAGAAGACGAATTTCCTCCATCTTGCAGCATTTTTATACCACGTAGGAGTTCCATTGATGTAGTCTCCTGGCTTCTTCTTGACCAGGAAAAATTTGTTGGGGAAGCCTTCCCCTCCGTTGCGTGTTGAATTGCGCACCTCCTGAAGAGGGTGCAGATTTTCTTGTCCACGAGGCGTTCCTGTTCCGCCAGCGTGCGTAATGGAGGTGAAGGGGCGACCTGTACGGCTGTGATAAAACTCTATGACATAACCTTGTACTGTCTGGAGAACCCAGGTGACTTTGGTAGTCGTCTCCCAATTCTGTAAAACAGAGACAGGTTGCCGGTCATAATATTGGAAACAGTTAGTTATGTAGGTTGACACACTAGTAGATGAAGCGGATGGGTTCAGACTTGTTTTAGCGAGGTCTGGGTTTAGTGTGGTGAATAAATTCACGTGTTCTTTGAGTACTGCAATGAACACTACGTCGAATAGTAGGCCTTGTGCTTTTGGGCCGAATACTTGTCGTTCCTAGGTCCAATAGTGTGTTGTCGATGCGGCCCAGTACAGATTTGCGTCTGTCGGCGCATAGTGCGTCATTTACGTTGCCCAGGAGGCATATCGAGCATTGAGACCATTCTTTGGAGGTGGTAGGGTTGAGTTGTGTACCCTGGGGCAACTCGGTCTTGAGGCGTGCGCATCCTTCCATCCCCCGAGGGTTGTGCAGCCAATAGTGTTCGTCCAGGAACGTTCCGTCTTCGGCTACTCTGGTTTAGTGCCGCTACAGTTATCTCTGCCTCAGCCGCCGTCACAGAGTAAGGTTTCCCTAACGTACTTCGAGGAAGTGTGGGGAAGGTCTTGCCGTTCCATTTCCTCAGACGGTGAGCTGTCTTCGTGTCGCTCATCTACCATGTCCAAAGTACGTGGTGGGTAATAGTCTTTTTTGTCGGAAGATTGTGGCGGACGGGGTTTGGATTCCCGGTGTTCCGCCTATTTGGTCTGTTCGATGGGCATCTTGCCCTTGACCTTAGTGGCAGGGGGGCTGGAGCCCTTCCCTTGCCGTTTTGACTTGAAGGCTTGTGGGCCTGAGGTCTCCATCAAGCGGTGTGGGGTAGAGTTCATAACAGAACCTTCTCCACTGAGGCCGTTACTGTGGCGTTTATCATTGTCTCGAAATCTTGGGAACGTTGAGAGTGTCCACCATGACTCGTTCCCGTCCTGTTGGGAGATAGTGTGGGGGTCAGCACGTAGGGGTGTTAGACTCCTGGTAGAACTGGGGATCACCCAGGTAAAAAGAGGGGTCACCTCTATTAGTTTAATCTGGCTACTGAGAGCCGTGGTGCAGGCGCGACTGCCTGGTAGTGGTGTCGGTCTGGCTAGCCGGGTTCACCACAAATGTACGCCAGAGCTGTATGCAGGGTTTTAACTACACAGGCTTACTATATAGGCGCATGGGGCCTGTCTCCATAAGGTCTGCAGCCGCAGGACCCATGTCTATTAGGCTGGGTTCATCCCAGGTGGTGTGCCATGGTAACCCAGAGGACACCCATATTATACTTATTGGCACCTTACAAGCATTGCATGCATATCTGGGAGTCATCCCAGGTGGTGTGTCATGAAAAATTACCCAGAGGACACCCACGTTCCATATGTACACTAGGCACAGAAAATATACATATATGTATCCCTGTGAAGGTTACACCGCAATACACTCAATTTTCTTAGTGATCCTGCCATCAAATCGCATCCGGCATGGTACTGTTGCTTTAATGTAAAACTGACAGGCAGTGTTTAACCCCTTAAAGACACATGAGATGTGCGACATGTCATGATTCCCTTTTATTCCAAAGTTAAACATCCATAGTTAAGGGTTAAACATCCATATATGTCTGTAGTAATCAGTGGTAAAGTTGAGGCGTAGGCCTCCATGCATATGATCGGGGTTCACCCCGGGTGGTGTGCCATGGTAACCCAGAGGACACCCACATCAAAGGTAATGGTCTGTCAGTGACCTTGCATGCATATCTGGGGGGTCACCCCAGGTGGTGTGCCATGGTAACCCAGAGGACACCCACATCAAAGGTAATGGTCTGTCAGTGACCTTGCATGCATATCTGGGGGGTCACCCCAGGTGGTGTGCCATGGTAACCCAGAGGACACCCACATCAAAGGTAATGGTCTGTCAGTGACCTTGCATGCATATCTGGGGGGTCACCCCAGGTGGTGTGCCATGAAAAAATACCCAGAGGACACCCACATAAATTTGCACCGTCAGGTACAGTAATATAATATGACCCTCTGTAGGGTACAATAATATAATATAATATGCCCTTTGTAGGGTACAGTAACATAATATGCCCTTCGTAGAGTACAGTGATATAGTTGATCTTGATATAGGTACAGTATATGTTTTGTATAACGACTGTGATATTGTATGGCTTCACAATAATACATAGATTGTGTGCCTGCTCATGAGAATAAAAAATAATAATTGTATATAATTTTTTGCCAGTATGCCGTCTGATCCTGAGGAGATAGTAACCATGTATAGTATAACCCTAATTGGGGTATAGTAGCTGATATGACCCTAAGCAGGGCCTAGAGACATAAAGGTCTGAAGCTGGCAAAAAAAAAAGGGGGGAATGTTTGTCTCTTTAATGCATGCATTTATAATAGATAGGCAGCACAGCAGGCAGGCACTGGGCAAATATATATATAGAAAGGCAAAAATCCACTGTAACCTAATACCCTCCCTTAGTACATACTAGGGAGGGTATAAAGATGTGGAGCCCAGCGGTCGGGTGAGTTACCGATCCGCCGGGCAAGCGGGGAAGGCGGCCGTCCGGTATCTCGCGAGCCGCCAAGATGGCCGCTGCCCGCGTGTGAAGTAGCGCCGCGATCGACCGCTCGGCGCCGGAATGACGAGGGAACGCAGTTCCCAGTCCCCCTCCACCCGTCCCCTTGCCGGCCCCACAAAAGGAAAAACGTTAGCCGGCCCGCGGCGCGCGGCACTGACAGCCGTTGCTCGCGGGTACCGGTAGTGAAAAGCAATAGGGGCCCAAAAGAAAACTGCAGGGACAGGGAGAAGGGAACAGCGAAAGTAAAAACTAAATAAATAAATTAGTTAAATGAAATAAGTAAATGAAATAAATAAATTAGCTAAATAAATAAATTAACTTAGGTAAATAAATTAACTTAGGTAAAAATAGAACAATACCATCCAAAATACAGAGAAACAAACAATATATGTAAGCAATTGCCAGGGAGGCAAAATACTCTGACCTGATGTTGGCTGGAGCAGCAAAGAAAGAGGAAGTGATGTCATAGACAGGGCCTTTTATGGGCATTATATCTTTTTTCTGATTGGTTGTTTATGTTACTATGCTGCTGGAGTTTTGAGTAAAGAAAGATATGCAAATATGAAGCCTCCTGTCATGTGGTAAAATTCTGAATGTGACTGGGTGGTTTATAAAGATTATCTCTGCAGTTATAGTCTATAGTTTGTGCAATAACCAAGATCATTAGGTTTTCATGGTGATCGCTCCACATTTTAGAACACTGCTACGTAGTTCTTCCAGATATATTCGTGTGTTTTCTGTTTTTGTATGATTCTCAATAATAGACCATATGACAAAGTATCTGATAATCTGTTGTAGGGGAGAAGCTGGGGTTGCTGAGATAATGCTATCTGCTTCTGCCTGCCTGTTTGTATAAAATTATGTGTATTTAGCCTTGAGCTGTGCCTGAAAAAAATCACATCGCCCCGAGCAGCGATGGCTAATCATTAGCATTACAGTTTCTGAGCTGGCTGAGCACTCCCGGAAATATAGCCCTCAACAGTCTTGGTGTTAATTATTATTCATTACAAGGGACAAGCCGCTTTATCTTTAATAGATGGAATAGTTTAAGAGATGTGATTCCTCTTCAGCCCTCGTAATAAATATGTCCTCTCTGACATTAGCGGCATTTATAGTGTTTGTGGCAATATGTAGGTATGTCATGTAAGTATAAACACAGACAGGTGTAGTGCAGTTTCCATTTTTATGCTTTCTCGACTCCTTGTTTTAGGTACGTGAATAGGATTGTATAGAAAATATGTATTCCAAGTGTTTCTTGTTATTTTTTTTTTTTTGTGTTATTTGATATATAAATATCAGGTAGCAGAGTATATATTTCATGCTCACTGTAACGGACCGTTTTGCCCATAAGAGGTTAAAAAACCGTTTAGGCGATATTCCCCTTTTTTCAGATGCACAGACAGCTACTGCAATCACCACTCTCCCGAACTGCAAACACACGAATACTGGAAACAGCCGAATAGGAAAAACCATGCAAATAGGTTTACACTCCTAGCAGTCAAACTGGAACAGCATGAAATAAATCCTCCCCCAATGATGAGACGACACTTCACTTTGAGGGTTAAGCAGGAACTCATGTGCTGGCACACCCAGCCTTTCACATACAGGACCGCCCACAGGGAGGTATAAAACAACCAATCACATATCAGTTACATCCCACATATTCCCTCCCCTTATCCTGAGAGGAAACTCAATTACACATACAGTTAAAACATACTTTCTGCCCAACTTTCATAACTTTAAAACCATACATCACATTCACATAAAATTACATATTCACAATCAATCCATTCAGGGAAACAACATATTAAACAATGGCATGAATCCGACCAGGGGTTCAAAAGTTAGTAAAAGTATCTTTTGGGCCCTGGCTGGCAGACGGCTATCTGGCTCAAACAGGTTTTACAGAGCCCTCTATCCTGGAGACAATGGGGGAAAGTAATCCAATTATCTAGGGATAGAGGCAGACTCCATTGAGCACATGGTTGCAAAAAGACATAAAACACTTTAAAATACATAAAGTCACCTTTTACACATAACACACAGACATTTCACACATCCCCAGATAGCTGGGATCTGAGCGCACAAAACTACCGAATAGCGCTCAGATCCTATTCACACAGTTCAATTGCCATGGAGCCGAAGTCTTTAACTACACGAATGGTCTCCATGGCATAGCTATCTGGGTTAACACATTCACATAAAGTCTGGTCCATAGTCCAAAGGCAAGAGGCGGGCAAGCAGCCCCCTCCAAGGACACGTGGCGAGGCCGGTTTCGCCACACTCACTCTGAATGAATATTGGCTAGATACCAGTAATACGGAACCTATACATTTATTTTATAGAATGAATTGATAGCATGCTTACATCAGCATCCTAAAAAGTGAAGAGCCAGGATTTCTTAAAATCTTACAAAGCTTTATTTTTATCGACAAAAATAAAATTCTTAAAGGGACACTATTGTCACCAGGACCATTACATATTAATGTAGTGGTTCTGGTGTCTAAAGCTTTTTCAGAGAAAAGGCAGTGTTTACATTGCAGCCTAGTGACACCTCTACAGACAGTCACTAACATGCTTCCTATTTCTGTGCTGCACAGTACATGCGCAATAGCTTCCCAATACTTTCCTACTGGAAAATATTGAATTGGCTCAGATAATCTAGCTTGATGATCTCAGCGATAGAGACCGACACGGCATGGAAAAAAAGGGGATCAAAAACACGATTTTAATGCGATCGGAAGGTGGCTGTCACCTAAACATACACATACACTGACACAGACACACAGACAGATGCACACACTCACAAATTATATGTTTTTTAACTCAATCTAAGTCCACCAAGCGTCCTACCTTTGGGAGAGCTGGAATAAATTTGCTTTCCCTGGGGTCCAGTGGGCAGCCGGCTGGGGAGAGTGGAGGTGGGTGGCCAGCTTTACGTACTATAGGCGGGGAGAGATTTGTGATCTTCTGCTCTGATCCCTAGTGCGCCCCTTAGTGATGCTGGGGTCTGAGTGACGTCATATTCTGGCCCCAGCATCACTAAGCGGCGGCAAAGGGAGCCAAACAGGGAAATCACAGCTCTCTCGCTGCCCGATTCCACTGTCTCTCAGCCAGCTGCTCACGTCAGAGGGAACAGGCTCACAAATCCCAGACACCAGGACAAAATTCCTGGTCGCCATGGCAACCTGGCTCCCGAGGTTTGTCAAGCCCTGGCTTACATACATATACAGTAGTGGGTTTTGTGTTACAATTAAGTTGCCTTACATATTTCTTATATGTTTAATTTTTATAATAACTTAATTGTCTAATAATTAAATACAGCATGCTAGCTATTATGGTGTATGTAGCGTTAAATGGATCTGCCAGAAAATATTTGCTGACTTGACCATTATCTCCTTTACAGGAAACGATGAACAAGTGATCCTTCACGATGTTGAGAGGTGTGTAATGTTAGCGTCTCCCAGATCTATACTTTGTGTAAATGTAGTTTAAATAGAATTCTAATCCATCCTTTCTTTTCAGTGGCGTAACATTGGATGTTTTTCTTCACGAGGAGGCTGTATATGGCTTGTCGGTCAGTCCCGTGAATGATAACGTGTTCGCTAGTTCATCTGATGATGGAAGAGTTCTGATATGGGACATCCGAGAGTCTCAACAAGGAGGTGAGGAGGCAGTTTGGGGCAAGTGTATTTTAGAAAAACTGCAGTGTTTTACATCCCTAAATCTCTATCATACTGCTTCTTATTAAAGGGGAAATCGAGACAATCAATTAGTAATTATGTAGCCTGAAGTTCTCGGTCACTGTCCCTCGATTTAAGTGGCCCTGTCACCTTTACGGGTTTTTGCGTGTTTTGCATAGATGCCTAACGAGGTGTGCAGTGGCTACGAGTACAGCTGAGATGAGTTATACTCACTTGAAACTTTCCCTCACGTGTCTCCCTCCATCTTCTCTCTTCGGTTCCTTGGGTTTCATCCGCCAGGAGCCGCGTCATTGTTTTACTCCGACTCAGTGAATGAGAAGGTGCCTGATTCCCTTAGCCATTGTTGGCAATGGCTGTGAAATTACAGAACATGTTGGCGGAATCTCCACCTTTTTGTTTATTACTGCATTTTTCTTATGATATTTTGTGACGGTGTTGGAACGTCAATGAAATTCTAACCCTGTCAAAATTAACATTTCTTTACGAAATACTCAGAAATTGTGGTGACCGAGCAAGAATGGTTTGATATATCCATTTCCTCTTTTTTTTTATACATTGGACCACCACAATATTAGACACTTTGGTAATGCAGAATTAATGTTTGTCAAATTTTCATACCCCCTGTTCCGTTAGCCAACAAGTGCCATCTTGTTTGAAGGAAAATGAGTTTGACATCGTGAATTCCACATGATCAGTGGGTGCAAGATAGTGGTGGGCCAATAAACAAACATAAACACTTTCTTTTTTTTACTTTTCTTTATAACCGATTGTAATGCAGCTGTCAAAGTGGTAGGTTTCACGTGACAAATATGCAGCTTTATATTTAAAACATAATAAATCCTTTACACTGCAAATGTGCTTTTTTTCCTGGTAATATTACTCAAACTTGCAAATATAATTCATAACCCTTGTAGTGCTTTCTGTGTGTTGTCTCTTAATTGCTGGTGTATTAGATAAGAGTCATTTACATGCTAAAATGTTACTTGCTGATTTATTCGGGCTGAAGAGAGACCCACTATTATTAATCTGGCCAAAGAAATCTTAATAATATGTGACTCTGGTGCGCTGGAGTGGGATACATGAAAGTATTAGAGAACATAAAGACATGGGCATTTACCACCTCCTCCAACAAAATGTTACAGTTTCTCTTTAAAGGGTAATAACCACTTCTCAGGATTGTGTTTACTTATCCCTTATATTTAAGAGGTTGCTCAAAGCACCATGACCACATCCACCACCATGAATTATGGCACATCCAGAGTTATTGGCAATTGCGTTCCGGGGGCTATTTAGACCCCAGCATACGTGACTTAGGCAGCCCAGAACTCAGACATTGCATGAGACTTAAACAGCGCTGAATATTGACAACTCATCAATTAAATATGAGAACCAGAGGCCAAAATAGTTAATCTGGAACAATTCACTAATACTGCTTTAGTCCCAACATGGCCACTTTTGCCTCAGTTTTGCCATTTGGTTTTATTTTGCAAAAAAATCAGAGTTTTGTGTATTACCTTTTGAGTGTCTAACCCTATGTACTATTATTTCTTCCTTTGTCATAGCATGTGCAGTGTGTGCTGACTTTGTGTCATGCGTGTCATTTGTATGTGTGATATGTGCTGGCTGTATTTGATATATGTGATGCCTGTGTATGTGTGCTAGCTGTTTGTAATATATGTGTACATTTGATGCTTGTGGTATTTGTGCTGGTTGTATGTGATGAATGTGTGTTCTAGCTGTATGTAATGTGTGTGTGTGTGTGTGTGTGTGTGTGTGTTAGCTGTGTGTGAATTGTCCTTTGTGTGTTCTGGCTGTATGTGATGTGTTTGGTGCATGCTGGCTGTATGTAATGAATGTGTGTGGTGCATGCTGGCTGTATGTAATGTGTGTGGTGTGTGGTGCGTGTTGGCTGTATGTAGTGTGTGTGCTGGCTGCATGTGATGTGTGACTGCTGTGTGCTAGCTGCATATCATGGGTGACTGCTGTGTGGTGACTACTGTGTGCTGGCTGCATGTGATGGGTGACTGCAGTGTGATGGCTGTGGTGGTGCTCTGTGTAGCCCAATTCCTGCTTGGCTTTTTGAAGGAAGGTGTGCTATGATTCCTGGATGTTCAATTGGAGGGGGATCTTTTACCGTGGTGGTCCAGCAATGATTAACTCTGCTTACTGGTCCTGGATTACTGGTGGTCTTGTGAGGGACCGTGAGAGGCTGATGCAAACCTCTGTAATTGCTCTATTGTGATCCCAGCATTCAGTGAGTTAGGAGTGCAGGCTGGGAACATCTCTGATTAATTAGAGCGCGCCAGTGTGACGCCAGTATTACAGGCGTCACACTACTGGCCTCGGCAGCACCATTAAAGCTCAGTGTCATCCCAGGTTAGGAGCAAATACATCCAGACTATGTCTCACATTACAATTATTTTTATTATTAGATTGTTTTGTATTGAGAAATTATACTCATCCCACTTGGAGAAAAAAGGACACTCTCCAAAAACATCTTCCCCTCTACTCTCTTCCTATTTTTAGTTTCTACTCCTTCTCTAACTTAATAACCATTCTATTAAGAAACACTTGTTGAAAACCATGCAAAAGAAGGAAAAAATGAAGTGAATGCAAAGCTGCATAATGAAGACGTCAATGTGTCTTGTATCTTATAATCAGAGAAAACCTCTCTAATTGAGTAACTAGTGTATAATTTATTCCCATGTGGATCTCATGTTACTTTAAATGGAAGGCACAGAGTCTAGGGTGACATAGTTTGATATCTCACGGAGAACATGTGTTTCAGCCGTTTAGTTCGGTAAGTAGAGTGGGATTATTGACGGTGGGGCATACTCTACTAAAGCTGCTGAAGGTCTTGTTACACTTTAAGTTAATGACTGACGGCCATTTTGAACAGCCCTATAAACACCTTGTTTCACTAGAATATCTAAAGGATATCAAAAGAAGAAGAGATTGTGTGACAGAGGCTGTAACTTTTTAGATATCTCATTACAATTAAATGGACTATCAGGCAATCTAACTACATGTAAGCTAGGCCACTATCTCTTCTAGGCACTTTTGGTACCTGCTCAGCATAGAATGCATACTTTGAGTTGTTTGTACTACTTCAAAAACACATTATATGTGGGAAGATTACCTGGATGGAGCTTTTTTTTTTGTTTTTTAGCTGGTCCGTATGGGTAGAAATATTTCAGTTTTACCTCTTTACCAAGGGGTGGTTTTTGGTTATTTATTGAAATAGAGTTCACTTGCCATAACGTCACGCCCCCTACATAATACACTCCTGTATCAGCAGGGTGAAGAGATCTTGAGGGATTTAGTATTTCCTTCTCTCCTCACAGGGAGAAGATGACTATTCCCTCACAGGCTAATTGTTCAGTGGAATCAATAGCCTGTTCATCTGTAAACTTCCAGAAGGTCCACATTAAGTGTTTACATCCAGGTGGATGGTCAAGGGCATCTCATGGGGTAAGTAGTACCCACTATGTCTACAGCAACTACCCATCCACTACTGTGAATTTTCCTCCTCCTTCTTTTGGGCAGACTAGACGGGCCAAACGGTGCATATCTGGTGTCACATTCTATGTTTCTTTCTTACAGAGAGACTGACTAGAACCCACTATTTGACTCAGACCAACTTGTCACCATTTTTAAATTGCGTGTTTTTTTGTTTTTGTTTTGTTTAATAGTTAAATGCTATCACATGGGGAGAATACACTGCCTCACAACTACCATTTCTAAATAGTGTTGCTCAAGACAGATTTGCCTGTAAAAGGTTATCTCATGTGCTCCCCAATCTCCAGTACATATTTTAGATTGATATACATGTGTAGCTCTGTCCAGAGATTATTTTGTTTATTCATTTCCACATGGGTCCAACCTACATTACTGTTCATGAGACCAGCAGAGAAGAGGAGTATTTCTTATAATTCCGTTGATGTTTCCATATATCTCGAGATGAGTATATGTGTACTTTTGGTTCCAAAGGATTACAGTTGAATGTTCAGAGATACATTCAATCCATTTACAGTTTCTTCTTCTTTGTGTTTGCAACAGTCTTTATCTTCTCTGTAGACCCCCTATGTGTCAGGATCTTACCTGATGTGGAGTCCGAGTGCAGAGTTATATGCTCACCCTTGCAAATAAACACAGACTAAGGTGACCAGGTAAGAAGCCACCTGGGCTGTGAGTCTGTGCACGGGGGCTGTGCAGGAATATAGCTCCAGGTCACAGTACAGGCAAGGACAAGCAGAAGAGTAGTCGTGGAAAGCCAAAGTCAGGGGAAGCCAGAGGTCAAAATAAACGATAAGATAAGACAAAGTCAGGAGACGTCTAAAGAACACTGGATCAAGATACACAAATACAGGGACCAGAGTCAATGAACTGACACAGCCCTCCAGTGTTTTATATCTGGCTAATTAGCAATCTGCTTCAGGTGGACTGAGATTGACAGGAGCAGCCACAGGTCATGTCCAGCCCCCTTGTGCTGGAGACAAGGCAAGGTTAACATGAGCTGGAGTGTGGCTCAGAGGCAAAACAGCAGGCCCAGGACACAGAAGGATCCAGGTTCATATCCCCTGGTGGGCACTTCAGGGGCGACCACGTCTGACCGTCTGGATTGTTGTCATGCATAATTTCAAAGAGATCTCACAGGCAGTTTTTTTACATCCTGCTTTGAGTTTTCTATTACACTATTTGGTGGGACAGGTGTACTGCATTCATTGTTAAAAGCAGCTCCCTGACTAGGGTCTTAGATCTCTTCCTAACGATCACGTTTACACTGGCAGTTTTAGCACGTCACAAAATGTGGCTAAATTTTTAGTGCTGACTCAATGATGGTCCTGACACGTCATGAAAGGGTTAAGGTAAGTTTTGATTTTGGTCTTTGTTTGAAAGCCAGCCTTGCTTCCTGACCAGAGATGGTTTCTTTCTATGTCTTTGTGGAAGTTTTCCACTTTCCAAGTAGAAAACTACACTTTGACTTCCTCTTCTAAGTGGACTTAGAAAGGCATTGGTCTCCGCAAGGTCTGATAAACTTGATGGTAGCTTTACTAAGACAGATGAGTGTACCTGCAATGGAGCCTTCACCGGTCGCATTTGTAATCTTGAGGGCGCTGGAATTTTGCTGATGACCAGGAACTACAGCCAAGACAGCTTGAACTAGGTAATATGGAACTGGATGCAGGGGTTATAGACATGAAAGAAGACATGACTGGAGAATTTGAGTAGAGCTTCATGAGATGACTTGACAGCATTAGCAGAGAGAATAGTTTTATTTGTAGTTTTTCCTTTCTTTTAGTGTAAGCACAGGTGAATGTTGAACTAGAAAAGGGTTGGTTTTGGGAGCCTATTGGGGAAGAGCACATGGTTTAAGTGATTGGCTAGCTCTTCAAGTGGGGTGAACTTAACTTTGTTAGTCTTAGACTCTTTGTTAATGTGCTGTCACAATATAGATACATGTATTTACATGGTGATTGTTTTGTTTGTTTTCGTATTTGATTACAATGCTGAATACAGTTGTGCACCAACTGTCTGAAATAAAAAATGTAAGGTATTGGCTTGTTGAGAATAAAGGCATATTTATCCCTGATCAGAAATGAGTTTCTGTGTTGCTTTAACCCCTTCTACTGGATAGCTGTTTTATCAATTCAAAGCTCTTTCTGTAAAGTTCAATTTCATTTTGTTGCTCAAATATGCTCTACTCGCAGTATTTTTCTTATTTTTCAAAGCACCTTACCCAGAATCAATGTCCAGGACACCTTGCTCTTTGTTGATCATATAAACTATATTGTCATACATCAAAATAAGGATGTTGGAGCCATCCAAAAGTGTATCCCTGTCTTCAAAAAATTGTCATCACACCTCTTCATCGGGACCTGTCACCTACCCAGATTTTTGCATTTTAAAGGGTTACTTCAGTCCCCATGACATCTTTGATTTGAAGTGGTCATGGTGCCTGGAGTCTGTGTGTGCAGCATTTTACTATGAAACCCTGCACATATAAAGTGTAACCCCTCTGCTGCAAGAGGTGGAACTCCAACAGTGTCACTGGGGCATCATTAGCCAGCTTGGAACTGGAGTTCTGTGTGGCTAATGGTAATTCTGTGTGTATTGGTGTCTGGACTCCGCATGCTGGCAACAAGCTGCACTGGCAGCATGGCTTTCCCTCTGTGCTGTTCCTGTCCTCCCCACAGCCTGCCCTCCTTGACATTAGTTCTCCTCCACTGAGGGGGGAGTGACATCAGTGGAAGAGGATCAAGCTGCAGAGAGAACTTGGCCCGGTGGTAAAACTAGACGTTTTAGCAGGCAAGCACATCAAAGGTAACTCTAACCAAAACAGTGTTTTATTAAACAGTTTTTCTGCTTGGAGTAACCTTTTAAATATATTTACTTAAAGGACCACTATAGTGCCAGGAAAACATACTCGTTTTCCTGGCACTATAGTGCCCTGAGGGTGCCCCCACCCTCAGGGTCCCACTCCCGCCGGGCTGGATGGCAAGGAAAGGGGTTAAACTTCCCTTTTTTCCAGCGCCAGGCGGGGAGCTCTCCTCCTCCTCTCCACCTCCAATCCTCCTCTTTGGCTGAATGCGCATGCGCGGCAGGAGCTGGGCGCGCATTCAGCCAGTCTCATAGGAAAGCATTCATAATGCTTTCCTATGGACGCTTGCGTCTTCTCACTGTGATTTTCACAGTGAGAAGCACGCAAACGCCTCTAGCGGCTGTCAATGAGACAGCCACTAGAGGTTTTAGAGGCTGGATTAACCCTATTATAAACATAGCAGTTTCTCTGAAACTGCTATGTTTATAAAAAAAAAGGGTTAATCCTAGAGGGACCTGGCACCCAGACCACTTCATTAAGCTGAAGTGGTCTGGGTGCCTAGAGTGGTCCTTTAAACAGCGTATAGCTTTGCCTTTTTTATTCTTTAACTGTAATCGCCTTAATCCAGAGAAATTGTAATTATCATTGCAAATCCTACTTCTATGCCATTGCAATGTGTCATACCCTATGGGATCATTTCCATTCCCAGAGTTTGCTAGCTGATTCAATGCTACTGAATGTAATAGTTAATGACTGCTAATTAGCCGTTGCCAAACATTTCCCTTCGAGATGATAAATACTGAGTAACATCTGGTTACCATGTTAGACAGCCTGTTGTTCTTTTACTAAAAAATATACCTACCTCATCTAGGTGTAAAGAGGAAAAGACAGGTTAATTACTGCAAAGGCTCAATATATCCTATATTGAACAGAACACGCCAAGCACCATAACCACTGCATCACACTGCCTGTAGTTCCCTGGGAGCCCCCCATTGTAAGTATTTGTTGTCTACCTAGAACCAATCCCCTCTTCCACTATTTCAGCCATAGAGCCTGCACTGCAGGGTTTGTCTCACTTGGCTGGGAGCGATCATCTAATCACTCTCAGACAATGGGCTATCCTTCCATTGCATGGTTTAGCCCAACAGAGCTAACGGAAGCTCCTCAGCAGGAGCTTTCTGCCTCTCTGGCTCCAATACGAAATGGTGTGAATTCTCCTGACCTCCATGAATCTTTGAATCTCCATCCCTTATTATTTTTTTAAATGTCCATTTTTATTTCCTGTGAAGTTCATGTTTTTGTTAGATCAACTTCTATAAAATGTATATAATCTGTAGTTTTATTTAAGTTTAATATAGTTAAATAGAATTATCGCGGGGGAAGCAGTTGTCTCAAGTCATTCTGAAAATACCTGAAAATTCAATGCCTGATAAACCTAGAATAGAGAATTTCTATGCAGAGAAGCATAATTTTCTTCTTGTTTTCTCAGATCCTTTTTGCTTGGCGCATTATCCATCAGCATTTCACAGTGTCATGTTTAATCCGGTGGAACCCAGGTTACTGGCAACCGCCAATTCCAAGGAGGGAGTAGGACTTTGGGATATCCGGAAACCACACAGGTACAATATTGCCTTAGGCCTAAGTCTCAGACCCATGTTATATCTTCAGTTATGATTTGTGCTTCACTGATTACATGTTTGTGATTTATTCACTAAATTCCGATCTGTAATGAATGCCAACATGTATAAACCAACTGTTCTACCCCTGTTGTGCCCATTCACGAATTATGTTCTATTATTATTTTTAGTTATTTAATTCGACTTGCATAACTACCTGTTTTGAAATTCATGCCTGTGGCCTACAGTTTACATTTATAGTATTGCTGGTTCCCAGACATAGACTTGTTTAACCATAACGTCCAGAGGGAGGGGTACCCAGGAACCCTCATTCAGTGAGAGTGGTTTATCACTGAACAGTAGGACAGCGCCAGGGGACCCCAGGAACTATAGCCACTTTAATGGGATAACAGATTTATAGTGCCCAAATAACAATTTGTAGTTATTGAGGGTTTGTTTTGTTTATTTTTTTTTACATTTTTTTTTTTTTGACCAGCTCATTGTAAGCCTCTTAATAAACAACATTAGAAAAAGTAACCAGATATAATGTGACAGCCATTTTTTTCATTAATGTGAAAACTAATCCAAGACAAAAAGAATGGGGTGCTGGTTTAACCATTGCAAAAGAGGTACAGACACGGATTCAGCTGTGAAAATACAATAACCAAGGTTCCCAATAACCCTTTTTGTAATTTAATTTTGGAGTAGGACAGATTGAGTTAATTTTAAATGTAATACCTATTTCTTACCAGTAGATGGCACCTGACGCCTGCTCTATGGCTAATGTTGCCTATGCAATGCATTTTTCCAGTTCCAGTCCTAGATCCCTGGCAAGTCTTAACAAGAACTCCCTTTCAAGGCATTACAGGGTGCCACATTCTTTACATAGCTTCCTTTAGTGGGAAATCTGGATATTTCTGTTTGAGACACATTCTACAGTTTACTGGTCTTATGAGATAATGAAAAGAGAACTTTTTTTGAATAAAGATGACAGATACACGGTCTTTGTTTCAACAAAGCGCTACGGAATCTGTTGGCGCTATATAAATAGCAATAATAATAACTACTGTCTGGTTTAATTTGGACACATCTCAAAATGTCCAGTGACCCGGACTCCTTCATGTAAACCACAATTGGGAAATCACACAAACTCGTTACATAAATCGGGTGTTTCACCTGTGGATCTAGAACGATGACAGGAGACGAAAGGCCAAACTAAAAGGAAATGACATAAGCACCCTTGACTTTGAATTTTGTCAAATTACTGAAAGTATGCAGCGATTAAGTCTTTCATGTTCAGATTAAAGCAAGTACTTGTTACTGCAAAAGTCTTGATATGGCATTGGTCCCAAACAAAGGTTTAGATCGAACCGTCTAAATTTAAACAATGTAAAACACCCTGTCAGAGACTTTGGGAGGACAAAGAGGTACAAATCAGCACAAGCTGTCAGAGTGCTTAGGTAGACGGCAATATAATCTGGTGTATAAAGGTGGGAGGTTGATACATTCAACCCTTTGAATTGTGCTAAAAACAAACTAGCAAAATAAAGGATAGACAGACATAACAACAGATTTAGCTTTCTATACAAAGCGCCCAATTCTTATTTTTTATTGACTGAGAAAGTATAAAATGTATGCACCCATACTGCGTGTATAGACCATAAATCAATATGTAATACGAGCTTTGCCAGTGTAATAATACAAATTAACTAAAGGTTTAGCAGAATAAAACTCATGTGAAAGGACACTGTAGGCACTATAACTACTTGAAGTGTTTATGGTGTCTGAAGTGCCCTGGCGTAGTCCTTCCACTCAGCTTGAAAAGGAACAGAATAGGCACCAGTACAATTACAGCTTAATGTAGTGGTTCTTGGCCAAAGAGCTTGTCCCTGCATGCTGAGCATCGTAAATGCGGCACTTTCCGAGAAAGAGCGGTTACTATATTGCCAACTAATGCCACCTCTGTCTTTCACTAAATATTATAGCAACACGCTCTGCATGGAAACACTGAAAGCTTCCCATAGAGATTCATTGACTCTGGGAGACGATGTTGATTGGTGCAAAGCGGTAATTTGCTGCATATGCGCACTAGATTGGCCAAGATCATCAGGATTGATGATCTAAACCTGCTGAGGTGGAGTGGCCACTCAGAGATCGGCTCACCGGGGAAAATAAGTAAATCTATATTATTTATTTATTATTGTTTGATTTATGGGGATCAGATATCTAAATAGTTACTAGAACACTGTAGCAAACACTATAGTGTTCTATTAAACTGTTTTTAATGTTTTAATGGTAAAGGAAAGTCCCTAGCAGCCCCGTCCCCTCTGTGCTGCTTCGGCTGATGAGGAAGCATTAGCTTGAGCTGCAATGGGTGGATGTGTTGCACTGAGCGTGTCAGCTGACTGCGTACAGCCTATCAAAGCACCTATTGCTGGCATGCCTTCATATGCCTAGAAGGAAGTGTGTAATTCTGACTTAGCCATACCTCCAGTAGGGCTGGGCTGTGCGTGGCCAGGGACCCTTTTTAAATGTGCAACAAGGGACAGTGCACTATAACCAGTTACGTTAGATGAAATTGTTAGTTCCTAGAGTGTCCCTTTTATTGATAAATATTTCTTGGCAGTGGATTGTAGGCTTATCCCTGGCAGAAAATATGATGATTTTCTTCTCATGTCTTCATAAAATACAAATGATGTAGATTATGTGCGCTGTAGCTATAATATTATCAATCTCCTTGATGCATTAACTGGAAATGTGCCAAATCCCTCCTATCCGTAGGATGTTTGGTGCATTAGCCAAGTTGCAGAAAACTGTTCAGCCTAAAGACACAATTTCAATGCATTCCACTGTCAGATGTGTTGAGACAGTCCACCTTTGCCACAAGTCTGTCTGTCTGTGTAGATAGTTACATAAAGATCGCCTCCATTCACAATCCTCTTATAGTAGTTAATACATCCTTTATTAATTTTGCGTTACAAGTTTCACATTCCGTGCATACTTTGTAACTTTCATTGAAATAATGTCACAGGCAGCGCTTGCTTCTACTATTTTTATTTTTTTATTTATTTTTTTTAGACTGGGAAAATACTTAGTCACGGGTGCGTCTGAAGATAATAAGGATGCTGTGTTTATGTGTATATATTTGTCTTTTGTTACGGGATGCTCGGCATGTGAATGACAGGGTCGCTATTGAAGAGATGTTAAACCCTGAAGGTAGAGGTGGAGTCTGACAGGGCTTGTGCTGGCATTCCAGAGATAAGGAGTAAGTCGCTCAGGGATCTTTAGTGTAGGAGTGTTTCAAAGGAAATGAGTGATACAGGTAAAAACACAGACCTTGGGATGAGCATTCATGGATCATTAGAAGGAAGTACTCGATAAAACAATTGTGGCATTTAATCGAATCAACAATAAAATCCTTAAAGCTTTAGTTACCTTTGAATGAGAGCTTTATGGGAGATGGGTATAGGTCATCCAGAGGCACAACAGAAAGTAAACACTTACAAGGTTATTCCCCAATGTGAGAATTCAAGGTGAATTCAGTGTGAATTTCAAATCTAAGGTCAAGATAGTCATAATGGAAGGATTATCTCAATCCGCTATGCTCTCCATTCACCTACTCTCAATTAACATGATAGTATATAATCCTGACTAACTGTAGCGTAGTCTCTGGTATTTCTCTTATGGTTTGGTCCACCTTGAGGACTTCTATGTGATTTGGCGTACACCAGGAAGGCACTAATTCCAGCTTTGAATGTTGGGAGATTCTCCTCTCATTAAGAGTAATAAAAAAGTATTTAACCAAGGAAGGTACATTCAGATTACTCTGGTTTCCAAGTGTTAAGGAGGAATTGTCACTTCCCACATTTTTAATATTGTTTTTAGTTATCCCTATATTAAAAAATATGTAGTCGTCTTCCCCCCCAAAAAGACCCCCTACTGATAACACAATAGGACCCCACACATTTCCCCCCAATCCCACACATACCCCCACACCGACCTCACAAATGAAAGCTTAATCATAAGACTAGAGAACCCACCCAACACAAAGACAAAATACCATACCTCGTACAACACGAGCATCAGAGATAAATATAAGAGAACAACCTCAGGCACTAGACGTAGACTCAAATTTTACCACACCGGAAAACACCCACATCTACAGCTTAAACAAGGTGACCCCCCATGGGTCGAGACCACCAAACTCCCACACTGACCACACCTACACACAAAACAAACACACCAGACCAAACCCCAGACCCATATAAAACCGAAAGAGACACAAACCTGACAGACCTAACACTGGAAGAACCAAACACGCACCCAGAGGCAAGGACGACAAGACCCATGACCAAGGGACAAACCTCTACCTGAGACATACAAAAACCAAACCACTCAACCCAGAATACTGACATGAGGTTTCGCAATAAACCATAATGATACCAATGAAATGTAACGAAACTGCAAAATATTGGATATCACTACTACCCTACCCTTACCTTTATTCTGTACCCTATACCTCACCTAAACTTGAAAAATAAAGAATTTATTTATTTATTAGTTGTGAAGTTAGAAAATAAAATGAATGTTGAAACATACACATCTTTACCCAGGTATTGCAGAAATGCAGCTCCACAATGCTTTGCCGTTCTAAAAACAGGCATTTCATTAGGAAAATTCCATTATTACAATATCTGTGAATTTAGTTTCTCAACAAGCCCTGCCTTATGCACACACAATCACATGATCCATTCTGATATTCGACAAAAGACGGAGATACCGCCATCAAGTGTTGTCATTTCCCCCAGAGGTCACTTGTAAAGGCTGTAAGGAAAAATGGTTTGTCTTTGGAGGATCCCGTGGGAATTATCATAGAGATCAGTGTTGTATTCTCGCGCATGCACAACCGCACTGATGTTGGCTCCTGGCATATGAAGTGCCAGGATCTAAAGAGGATCCACTGGATGAAGATGGCGACGGCCACAAGGGACAGCTTCAGGTAAGTAAAACTACTTCCTGCAACCCTGGGCCATTGAACTTCAATAGATAAAGTCACCATCTAGGGCAGGGGTGCCCAAAAGGTAGTACCCCAGATGTTGTAGAACTACATGTCCCATGATGCTTTACGTGCCTTTAGAATGACAAAGCATCATGGAGTCTGTAGTTTTAAATCATCTGAGGATCTACCTCCTGGGCGCCCTTGATCTATGGTCTTTGTAAAATCTGCAAAGATTCCTGAAGGCTTTAAATATTTATAACATGACGGATTATATTGTATATGTGCATTTTGTTTTAAATACTTATACATTGTATCTGTCAGAGATTTGCATTACATTTTTCTTCTTTCTTACCATCTTGCTGTGCCAGACTTCGCTTTTGGCATTTGTTTAAAATTCCTGAAATTGAATTGCTCAGCTGAAGAAAAGTTACTTCTAATAGTGATCTAATTAACTTTGCTTTAAGCATTTTGTAAATTTAGATTTCTGTTACTTTTGCTTTCTCCCTCCATTAATCTCATTATTTAAACCAGTAATTCCCAGATTTTTCTAGGCCAAGGCATATGTTAGTGAAACAAAGGCCGGGCACACCTAGGTTTGTACCTAAATTGGCCATTTAGAAGTTCTGCAGCTTTCCAGGTGCAGGACTATCAAACTGTAATTTGCTATTTCACTATTGGACATTAATCAGGATTCATGGGAGTTGAAATGGCAAAACAAGGGCTTTAAAATATTTTGGGTGATTTAACCAATGTTACAATGCTTAATTAGGAGTAATTAATATATACATGGAACTGTCCCAGATTTATGCACAAGCTGATAGCACATCCCATACCTATCTTGTTGGCTATTTATTTTTGAGATTCTCACCGGGTTTTATTTTGTAACTTACATGCCTTGTCTGGTTCCCTGGTCATGGTATATAAATTAAATTAACCCCCTGCAGGGCTGTACCCATGAGCACCGCGCTGCCGAAGGAATGCCTGGCACATGCTCATGGCATGTCTCTGAAGATGCCAAGTACTCAAGAGTGTACTCAAGTAAAGCTGAAACCTCATCATATGAGTTGGCACTAATAAAGAAATATAATTTTAGACTTAAGATTTAACATATTATCACTGTACAATGTACATACACTGACAATGACACAACGTTAGCCTCTGATCAGATCTAATGCAGCAGCAATTAATAAAAAAATACCATATAAAAATGTACTCTCAGACAGTGTTCATTAGCAGTCTATACCGAATACCATAGTACCTCTAGTACTTAGGAAATACAATCCCTTCCTCGTTGATAAAACGTTTTAACAGCCTAATAATACATTGACATTACACTAGTGCCAACAATACAACCCATATCCTCCAATCAAGTAAAATATCTATCCTATAAAAAAAAAAATACCCTGTCCAATAAGTGTACTAAACTACAATACTTCTTATCTTCTTAGCTCCTTGCTACGATATGGTGGAAACCTATCCCTGCAAAGCGCCATGAGTGTACGATTCAACAGCAATGGAACGCAACTGCTTGCATTGCGCCGACGCCTGCCTCCTGTCCTGTACGATATCCACTCGCGTCTGCCAGTCTTCCAGTTTGACAACCAAGGCTATTTCAACTCCTGCACAATGAAGAGCTGCTGCTTTGCTGGAGACCGGGACCAGGTGAGATAGGGGGGTGTTTACAAATGTCTAAATAAATAAAAAAATATATATAGTAACATGATTATTTGCATAGAGGAATACTGCTTGTCTTGATTGATCTATATTCTTTCTGCCTATATGGGATCAATTCAAGGCAATATGAAGCAGCCTTAGTTTAGTGCATTTCCTAATAATAGCAGTTTGAATTCTGAAATGCCATTCATATCCAATGTTTATTATCATTGCTCCACACCTTATGTGTAACAGATTGTGTGGAGAGAAGTGTCACGTCTAATATAAAGATCTTATACCAGCTCGCGAAGGGCCATTCGATCCTATTTCTATACAAGACTACTTTACTAGACTGGATTTTGCTTGTTTCATTTTGAGAAACCATTGGTACAGTAATGAATGCCATGGTAGTAGATAGCAAGATCGCAAAATGTCTGGTTACCTAAGGATTATATACTGGGTCAATGTGAATAAAGTTCCATGATGCCTTAATGCACTAAACCACAGAAGTGAAGTGGGGACCACAATAAGTTGCTGGAAACCACAGAGTGCTGTATGAAGTAGGACCTAAACAAAGGTCTTTGTCAAGCTAGACTCCAAGTGCCTGAAGCCCCTTCTTCTATGTACCTTAATGCACCATCTAATGAAGTGCAGTGATACCACTCTGTTTGAGCAATATTTAACAAGTAGCAGTTCAGCGATGAGACTTTCATGAGTTTACCTGCCATTTACACGTGTGTTTTGCCATGGCGCTTGTCTCTCATTTTAACAAGGGTACAGTTGCTCTTTAAATCTTGTGATTGAAGACAAGCAAATATATCAGATATTTATATACTCATAAGTTGTTTAATAGATATAACATTTTACTTGAAGAGTGACTACAAGCTGAACATAGAAAAACAGTCTACTATCAACTTCTATAAAGGGTCATTATTATCTGAGGATCACACACCATCTGATTACAATTATAGTGTTGTTACCACGTGATAACTGGAGCAGTAGACTTCAGTGTTGAGTTCATGTATAGTTAAATACACTGATGGCCAAGATTCTTCCACTTTATTTTAACATCGTAGCACACAAAGAAAAGCAGAAATTACTAACCAAGGACAATTAAGGCATCTTTTGCTTCACTTTGCCCTTCATAGCATGCATCTATTTCCAATCACTTACTGCTTTATTTAGTACTAGAGAATGGTATACACTAGAATAGTATAAAAACCTTTATTGACTCACTCTTTGGTCATCAACTCTAATTGAAGTAATGGACAGAGATTTAAATTGAATGATCCAGTATCAGTACTTTCCTGTATGACTAAATAATGTCACTATGGTACAAAATATATAGTTTTTTATTTATTTTATTCATTACTGCCATTTACAGTCATGGGAAGTGAATACTTAACTGGGAGAAACTGATTCTTGAAGGTAAAATGGGGCCTTATTTCAGCATAAGCTAAATGAAGATAGTGTAACATTTAAAAAATGAAAAGTGAAAATTTAGGTCGCTTGTGCAAATACATTCTAAATAACTGAACTGGAAACATTCTTGAACCCAGCTTGGCTATTTTTAGAGAATGAGAACATTTCTCATTCACATTTCAACTCGCTACAGTTTGTTTCAGGGGGCTCAAATGAAATGGATTTTATATATTGAATTGCAAATAAACCAAATATTGTTTGTCGATCTCTTTTTTTTAAATTTTTTTTTTTTTTTTTTGCATGATGGTAGAAGAGCAGTACAAGTAGTTCTTGTAGAGAACAAGTAGATCTGCACACAAAAATAATGTCTAAATATTGCATGAGAAATCTGGCCACTCAATTTAAAAATGAAATAAAAATAATAGGCAAAGTAAACAGTGCACAGAAAACAAAACAGAATAAGATGCAGCAGCAAATGCAATGGTATAATAATCAGTAGTATATATGCTTAGCTTATCAGGCTAGGCAAGACCACCAAGTAAGCATGTAGCATAGTACATAAGAAAAAGTCATTAACTTTAAGTGGATCGTGGACATAACAACTCAAACTGAAATATAATGAGAAGCCACTGTACACGAGATCCACCAAGAGATGGCCATTTCTATGTGTGTAGTTGTCCCAAGTAAGCCTATACTTAGGCTCGGGAGGCTTATGGAAAAAAACGGTAGACTGAAACCAGTGCCTGGAGCACGGTAGCGCTCCTCAAGTCCCCATCTCCAGCTTCCGACCTCCACAAGAACCATGACTCCATATCCACTGACCCTATCTGTCTAAGTGCTCAGGTCGAAGTCCTGAGAGTGTGCTCTATAGTGAAGAACTTTCTGAGGTTGAAATCCTTCTGGATTTTTTTTTCCAAGAATGAGACGAATGGACTGAAGAGAAGGCTTAAATCTGCTAAAATGCCCAATAGGTAAGTAAATGTAAAAGGGCTATATTTGTGGGCACAAGGATAACCCACAACGGTCCGGGAGGCGGGGAGCGGGAAACAGGGCACCAAGAATAGCAGGCCAGTAAGGCCCCATCCAGGAGGTTGGCTGTCACTCCCATTCAGGCACCTCATAGATTAGTGTTTTGATCGTTATTGATGAAGTATAAGGGAGGAGCTACCACAGTCTGTCCATCTGGAATGCCGGTCATCCCCCATCACCACCAATATAGGCTTTGATTTAATTAGCTTTTCAAATAATGAAATACTGTAAAACTTTACAAATGATTTCACAGTATTGAATCATTTGGAAAGTTTATTAAATGGAGGCCATAGTGCATTATTACGCCATTCATAGAATTGGAAATGAGAATATAAATTACTCACATACGTCAGAGCTTGTATGTCAGCTCTAACTAGGCTGCCCAGATTAATATAGAGCCAGAAAATAGCTCAGTTTTCCTCTCACATGGACACTGTATCCCAAAGGATGAGAATGCAGGTACAAATGTATGGTATCATTTCAAAACTTTAATTAAAAAGACAATGAAAACTCTGACATATAACTTTGAGCTCAGCTTTGTTGGATTAAAATGCAAGACGCTATGTATGTTCTAAATTGATTGTCTGCCGTAGAATGATGTGTTCTGAGTGATTGCAGTGGATAAATCTGGCTTTTATACGTGTTGAGGGCATGTTTATGGGTTTACAATTATTCATATATCCATTTGTTTTTCTGCATGCACAGTCATCCCATTAATTAGCTTGTCTCAGTGTATGTAGCCTTGTCGTGTTCCATGTAACAGAGTCATTCTCTGCTCTGTCTGTCCGCTGTTTAGGAATGTACCTTATATCTTAAGGCTGTAATTCTGCCAAATGTTTCCTAAACAGAGCCAGCTGTCAGTGATAGTGTAAACTGCAAGGCAAGGAGAAATGCCAAAGTCCTTCTATGAGAAGAATTCCTTGTCCCAGGACCTAGAGCTAATATGTCATGTAGCACAATCCCATACTTAGCATGCACATGGATTAGTGTACTCAGAATATTAGCCTAGATATAAAGTGCATTAATTATCTCTTAAATAACAAGTTCTGTGCCGAGAGGAAATTTACAAGTTGTCTGTATACATCAGTCTTTCAGCTGGGTATCCTCTCACATAAAATAACTTTTTTTTTATCAGGATTTGGATAATATATCTCAGACATACACACATTTCCAAACACATTAATCTGTAGCTTTTGATTTGCACAGATGCAATAGATCTTCATGCTTTACATACTATACTTTCTCTATTTGACATAGTCCTGTTGCGTTAAGATTTGCTTCCATGTAAGGCAGCCTTCTGCGCGCTCGTGCCTCTAGGCTCCCCCACCCCTCTAATTGTTTTCAGTAAAGAAACCTAGCCTTGTGTAATGAAAACCTTAATCCCTCTTCCATTCAGTTATGATTTTCATAGCTTCTGTGCACATTCTGTTCAGTCATCTACCCTGTGTAAGCAAAACGCATCAGATAATGCCCTGCAAAAGATGGATCGCCAAGTGGTGTGCTTGGGCTGGCACAACGTCATGAGCATTGTAGTTCTAATGCAGCTGGGGATCTACCTTTTGGCTATTTCTTCAAAACACCGTGCAGTTAGAGAAGCTGTTCTGACAAGTCTTTGAGTTGCAAGGCACAACCTCAGCTCTTGAAAAGTTTTTCACATGTTCATTGTATGGAGAGCATGGTTTTATTTACTAGGATTGTCTATCATGTTTTATCGGATATTATACAGACAAAACAAAAACATTTTCCCAGTTTCATCTTCTATTCATCTTCATCTTTCTATTCTTGGTCATTTAAAATCTTTTCGATTTTTAATTAATTTTGTTTCAGTCGTGAGAAACCCCTCATACATCAATCAACACACATTCTTTGTTACATTCTGTAGAATTAGTTGTGATACATATAGGATAAAAAATTGCTAAATGTACTGAGTACAGTCATACTTGTATTAGGGAGCTTACGATCTATGTATGCAACAAGGCAAAATAGGCCTTTACACACATATAGAACATACAGGTTAACATTGTTTTAAATTATTCTTTGTCGGGCAGCAACAAAAACCGCGTGCAGTACAATTTTGCAATGTTATTACAATATATGCTGTATGGGCATGCCTCGCTAACTAATAATATCAACTTAAAGGAACACTAATATGTATTTCTGACCCTATAGTGTTAAAACATCCATCTAGCCACCTTGGCCCCGCTTGTCCTCCTAAATATAGTAAAATCTTACCTTACTGCAGGCTGCTGCTAGCTCTGCCTACTTGGTGGTGATCTCAGCCAATCGCAATGTTTTCCCATAGGAAAGCATTGGATTGGCTGAGATTGTCAAGGATTCACATCAGGGGCAGAGCCAGCACAAGCCAAAGACAGCTCTGGAACTTTCTTTTTTTAAATGTTTGGTGTGATATGTCATGTCTTTTCTGTCTGTTTTTACGTTTTCATTCATGTGTATAATCGTCTCCTTAAAGTGTCTGTCATTTAGCTGTAGATACATTTCGTTTGTTTAGTGCTTACAACAGGAGGAGAGAACGAACAAGGAATAAACTAAGGGATAAGATAATGTGATTTTATTGTGAGAGGGGAGAAAGCTTGATTCTCTGCCACAGTGGTGAATGAATGATCTTTGCGAGGGATCAACAGGAGTAAAGACAAAATGAGGAATAAACTACAGGATAAGATTATGTGATTTTAATGCTTGGTTCTCTGCCACAGTGGTGAATGAGCTTTGGATACATCTGTGAGTAGCTGGAGAACCGGCTGTATGTATGTGGCTGTGTAGGAAGAGGCAAAACTAAATTTGTGAATAATTTGTGCTGTCTCCTACATGGAAAGCAAGCTGTCTTGTGTCTGTTTTATGTAAGACAGATGCATACTTACATTTCTTTTGAAAATATGTATTTGCTCATATTCTCTAAATAGAACTCATTGCATGCTGGGGAAGAATTTGATGCATGTCCCCAGTAACAGGGTTAGAGTACAACTGGTAAAGAATCATTGGGACTGTGTTTTTCAGAGTCTTATGGCCGATTGCCCTACCACACCTTATAGAGTGATATACTAAAATGTATACAGATAGCAATAACGTTTTCTATGTGTGTTGCCTCTATTTCTGGCTCTTGATATATATTTATTTATTTATTTATTTGTTCTTTCCAGTATATCCTATCTGGATCTGATGATTTCAACCTGTACATGTGGAAGATTCCAACCAACCCTGACTCAGGTGTGTGAAATTATGTATCACTCTGTAGACTTATCTAGTATCCAGCGTGCAGGACCCACAGCAGAAACCATTTGGGCATTGTGTAGTCTTATATTAGGGGGAGACAAACCTACTCTGTAACTGTATAAAACATCAAAAATGTATTCTGCGTAACTGAAGAAAACATTATTTCTAACCACCTGGATATGTACAATTATTTTCTGTACAGCAGTCTACAGTTAAAGGATAGACCTGAACACATCCCCCACACTCACAACCACATGAAGACATATAGATAGCCCGACTGACCCCAACCCGGAGACAGCCTGAAACCGAGAGAAATAACACAAGGGCGCCACGGCACGGGTTCTGAACACAGACACTCATACAAGGCAACCAATGGGGACGGACCGCCTTATCCCGCAACAAAATCTGACCTAGATACATTATATAGCACCTTAACATCGGCTAACCAATTCCTTACGGAAGACACGCAATGGCACCCACTGTGCAATATATCGTAAAACAATATCACCATAGTCGCTACGCCCTATGAAACCACATACCCAATCTGCTTAAGAAAGGCACAATACAAAACAAGATGCCGGCCTCAAAAAATAAACCACAGGGACTATGTGTTATAAGCCTCTGCGTAGGCTACTGCTGTAAAACTACTGATGACACAACCCCACATCCCAAACCATTTACTAAGTATACAACACTACCCCTGCGTGGGTAAACTGCTCTCAATCAGAGGTTACAAAATGCCCATCATTACCCAGGTCGGAACAACTACGAAATATGTAATTAGCCTTACTCTTGTCTGTTTGACGTCATCTGCCTCTGTATAGGCAACAATGCACCCTCTTTTCAAATCTGTTGTATGTCTGCTAACATGTTGCATACGAAAAAAAAAAAAAAAAAAAGGATAGACCTGTTTACCCTAATGAATACCTCCCAGTGTTTCAAATTGGCAAAGAGGGACATATCCTTGGTGGGGCTTAAAGGGTGGCTGCAGTGATTCACCCTATTGATAACCACTTATATACCTGTCAGTTCACTAGTTAAAGAGACACTCCACTGTCCAAACACAAAATAAATGCAAATCACTGTTTAGTAGATATACCCCAAATGAAACGGTGCACACATTTAATAATGTATTTTTTTTTTTTTCATTTGAGATATATCTAAAAACAGCTTGCAAAACCTGCAGTTATCCATTCTGCTGCCTTTGCAAGCCCTCCCCTTCTGACCCCGCCCAGACATTCTGTGGCTGTCCAATCACAGACTTCCCAATGTAGCTCAATGAGAAGTGTTTTGCAAGGCAGGTGCTCTTGGCAATTATCTTCAGCTTGTGCACTAAACCGCACACAAATTTTCAGAAGACCTTTTCGTTTCATCAGAAAGAGAGGAAACGGTGGACAACACAACATCACAGGGATATGTGTTTTGTATGTTTCTTTAATCAAATCATGATCTGGAAACTCAATCTAAAGAAAATGTATTTGTTCATAATTAATTTTTGTGGGGGGGTGTGATGACCTGAACCTCGTCACAGTTTCTTGGAGGGACCTGCTGGCCAGCTTCTTGCCTCAAGACTATGGGCCCTGCAATATACCTTGCCCAATGCACTTGAAAAGGCTCTGTTCATGTGAGTTATGTACTTTTGTACTCCAGACAGTGAGACCAACCGTTAGCCTTGATTCCCTGGAACTGTTTTGGGCATTGGCCCATGTGCACGGTCGGTCAAAAATAAGACTTCCAGGAAATTCCTGAACCCCTGAACTGATTTGGATGATTTTTTTTTCTTTGCTTGTAGATAATTGGATTAGAATTAGTACAGTTAGTGATCCAATTTTGGGATTGTGTGCTGTGTGTGGGAGTGTCATGCCTTGTAACTTTATTGTTATTGGTATGTGAAGTTGCAAATCAGTCCACCATCAGGTCCATGTGGGCGTACCCCTTGCATGGGGATGGTCATATCAGGCCAAATGTGACTCCCAATTAAACTGAGATTCATTTTACCCTTCATGAAGTCTTGGTTCATGTTTGGGGGATTGGAGAACTACATTCACTCTGGGGATTGCTATATCACAATACTCCCCTGAGTATAATCACTAGCTCTTATAAGAGCTGTTCCTGCTTTGCTCTCTGGACTAGGAGAGGTTTACTCACTGGAAGCTGGATCCTGGTCATGGTTCCAGGGTGGGTGGAGAACAGAGAGACTCCAACTAATCTGCGGCGGTTAGTGGGGTTTACGGTGGTTATGGTGTTCCAGTGCAGTGTTTATGGTGCTTGCAAATACTAGGAAGCATCAATTGACAGGTACCTGGTCGGGGTGCCAGGCGGTCCGTCACAGGGGGAATATTTAAAAATGGCTTTCAAAAGTTGCAGATCTCTTGTCGGCAGCCTTTGCAAGACCTCCCACTTTCTCCCCAGCACAGACTGAAAGTCTCATTGAGAAGCCTCTGTGCTGGAGCTGCTAGCGCACGCATGCGATCTCTGCTTACTAGTTTGTTATGCCTGCCACATCCATGTGTGGAGCTAACACATGTGGAAGAAAACCTTGATGGCTGTCATTCAGATCAGTGTTTCTGCCCCCAATTTTTAAAGTGACAATTTCCATTGAAAGCATGACTTTTATTTACTGCAAACTAAAAAGTGCTTTGTGTGTGGAATGTACCTTGAACTCAGTCACAGAAGAGCTGCAATGGTATTATTTAGAAACTCAGACTTGGAGACCTTAATTCAAAGTATAGAAATTACAAAACATAGCATAAATGGTCTTCTGCACTTAACTAGAATTAAATGTTGAATGTAAAAGTTAATCAGTTCCACTTTCAATAGCTAGTGTTTTCTACAAGTGTGAGAGCCTTTCGACTTGTGTTTGACGTGTTTTGTATATTCTGTCCCAACTGTCCTGATTTCACATCTCTTTGACATATAATTATGCTAACACTTCATTTTAACAAGTGATGTTTCACAGATTCTGACTGATTGCTTGATTAAAGTATTGTATGGTTTCCTGCTGTTGAGTAGGACTGGACTAAAACTAATTTTTCATTGTTGCCGGAATTTTTTGCCTAAACCTATTAACTCTCATCTGTCCATTAACGCACTCTAAGCCCCATAACCACTGCAGCTCAGTGTAGAGATTATGAAGTGAAAAGTCTATACACGCCGTCCCTTGGATATTTGCCAAATCATTTGGGAGTGGATTGACACAAAGCGGGCTCTCCATCACCAATAGAAAACCTTCACTGCGTCACATAAACTGTCCTGAGCCTTTCACTGACATCCAGTCTGGATTGAATTGATATTGGTAATGCAGAACGTGAATCCTGCATTATCAAGAAGACTGAAGTAGGGACAGGCTATGTGTGACTGGAAGAATCCCGTCTTTGTCAAACCACTCCCAAATAATTCTACCAAAGTGAGAATATAAAGTGTTTTATTTTTTAATTTAAGGTCAAATAGCCAAACTGGATTCTCTAAGTCAGCCTGCTTTCAGTTTGGCTACTCTGGCCTTAGATTTGAAATTCACTTTGAATTCTCACTTTACTAAATAACCTTAAGAGTTTAAGGCCAGATACTTATTGCACCATAACCACTACACTTAACTGAAGTTATTATGGTGCTTACAGTGCACTTTTAAGTTACATTGTATCTATATAATGTATCATAATATACATTGTTATAGGCCACCAGAGGTGCTTCCTCTGAAACAACAGAGTGAAACTTGGTCAATGATAAGCATTTGATTGGATGCATGCAGCATTTGTTGTGCATCTCGTCCCTAATGATGCTCTGTTAGGAGCATTGTTTTGGACATTCATTGTGGAAACAACACCTCCACAATGACATTGCGGAAGGCAGAGCAGGCAGCAGCACCGAGGTAATCTTGGCCCTGGTATAAAGGTAAGTAAAATGTTTTTTTTTTTTTCTTACCACATAGGTGAAAAGGGGGTGGGGCCTGAATTTAAAGGTGCACTAGGGAACTATAACATTAGCAATACAGGTTAGTATTTCTAATGCTATGGTGTTACTTTAACAGACTGGGATAAAAGTAACAAAACGATAAAGGTTGAGTTTTAATATGGTTCTGCTTTTAAATAGATCCCATTCCACTAAGAACATATTTAAAACAAATGACTTAATATGTCAAATATATTCTTACAAATACTCTGTGCTCTAGCGGACGAGACAAGCTGGACCTTCTATGCACACCCAGTAAGTGAGGGCTTAAATCTTATTTCCCTTGAGTATGCATGGCATTTATCGTAGTCTGTAATGGATATTGTATATTAAAGGAATCCTGCACAAGCCAGAGATATTTTACAAAATCAGCACATACAAGGCTATGTAATCCTCTGTAATTAACCCCATCGTTGTTAGGGTTTTTTTATACCTGGAGTATGAGCAATGTTTGCATTTTCTTCCTGTGTCTTTATTGATCAGTAATTTTCCTCTTACATATTTAGTGCAAAAAGCTATGTGCTACACGTTTGTAGATTATTTGTAGATAATTAGTGCAGCTAAAGTTTTTGTGAATTAAATCTTAATGGAAAGACTGAGGAGAAAAACAACTTATCTGGAAAAATTCTCTTGCTCGGCCAGATACAGCTCAATTATTTTTGCTTCCACTTTTGAATTCAGATTAAAAATTCAGAGTTTAGTAAACAATCCCATTTGCCATGATTTTGAGAATTCTTCACGTAGCTAGAAGACATTTCACAACATTATTGCTGTTACAATTTAAAAGCTAAAAGTTCTAATTTCGATATGTTGGTTATCTACATTTAATAATACAACCTGCGACCACTTTATTACCAATCTCTGCCACAATGTCATGTAGTATATTTTTAACATTTAATCTGCCACAATGTCATGTAGTATATTTTTAACATTTAATGAGATGAAGTTGTTTACTATAAGGTGTTTGCAGGTGGGGTTGTGCCATTCTAGAATGAGGTTAAGAACTAGATTATCCTTCAAGCTTCTTCCATTCTCAAGATCTCTGAGTGAGTGGAAGACATTAAGTTATGTTGACCACTTAATAATTCCGTGATAATCATAATTTTAAATGGGGAGAGTCCTTGGGGTGGGTGCAGCATCGTCACGATTCCTAAAACCTTTCAATTACTTGCAATCAATGTGAGTGATAAAAAGTATGCGACATTCTTGGAACACATCACTGTGGCTAGTTTTGCTGTTTTTGGGGGGTATCGGAAGATGAGGCACTTATAAGGAGAATGGCCAATGAGAGAGCGTGGGGCAGAATATATATACTTTCTAAACTAGCCTGCCTGCTTACTTACAATCACAGCAAGTATGCAGAGAAGCTGGACGGCAGACACACACAGCATTACTAAGAGTTATCGAATGTTGAGAAATGCCAGAATATGTCTGATACGGACAGTGTCAGTATTTGCATTTACCCGGAGATCACAAGATGCATGCTTCCTTGCTTGCCACGCTCGCAAAACAATCATGTCCCAGGAGAGTCACTTGCCCTCAAAGGATAGTTTTTTGCGATGTGCTACCTGTCGCAGAGAAGTTAATATCTGTGATATCCAATCTATGGTATCTCCCATGTCTACATGTCTAGCCTATATGATTACATGAAGCCTTTGGAATCAGGCTAGTCTGAATCAGTCTTTGAAAAAATGTTGTTTTGACCTGTGACCTCAAGGGCCCTGCTTCACTTGTGACTTGGAAAATAAAAACCACCAGGGGAGGATATTTTTGTTCTCAAAACAGTTGGGATTTAACATAAACATAGAATAGGACCACAGATAAGAAGTAACCAATTATCCAGCCTGCATATTTTCCGATCTCCCATAGAACATCAGATTTAGTAAGATAAGCAAAGTTTTTTGCCACTAAATGTTGCTGAATCTAACAAGCCAGGTTTGATGTATTCAGCTTTGTTACAATGTTCATGGGGAGCTAACACTTCTCTGGAAATAGAAGCAGGAGCTCTGTTTCTCCACAAGAGAGCATTTAGGGAATTTCAAGGGGATTTCACATTTAAAGGGACACTATAGTCACCAAAAGAACTACAGCTTAATGTAGTTGTTCTGGTGTCTATAGCCTGTCCCTGCAGTTTTTTTAATGTAAACACTACCTTTTCAGAGATAAGGCAGTGCATACATTACTGCCTAGGAACACCTCTAGTGGCAGTCACTCAGACAGCCACTAGAAGTGCTTCCTGGGTCAGAGCTGCATAATGTGCAGCACTGACGTTTGGTGTCTCTGCACTCTGCATGGATGATCTGAAAGTTCCTCTTAGAGATGCATTCATTCATTGAGGAGATGCTGATTGGACACAACGTTTTGCTGCGCATGAGCAATAGCATTTCAATGTTTTCTTATGGAAAAGCATTGGATTGACTGAGGTAGTTTGATGATCTCAGCCAAGTTGGCAGAGCCAGCCGCGATGAGCTGAGCGAGTCACTGCAATAAAGGGGAGTTTAAACAACTATTCTTCTGACACATTGGCTATACTGGATTCATGTTGAATTTTCACTATAGTAAATAACTATGGCCTAAATTTAATATTGTTGGGTTTTCAAATTATTATTATTTTATATATTAAATCATTTAAAGTTTGTTAAAAAAATATCAACTAATTTGAAAAGCTTATCGAACAGTATTAAATTGATGCCAATGTTCAGTGATTGACAGAAAGCCATGGTTGAGGCACTCCGTTCCACAGTTCCAACATAGCACTAAATACAGCCATGAGGATTTCTGCACATCTATATTTTTTGTTTGTTTTTGTCATACTTTACAAACAGATATTTCTTAAATTTAAGGAGTAAATAAACTTAATATTAAAAGTCCTAGGAACTGACATTTCCCCTTCTAGTATGTTTATTTTTATACTTCATCATCTAGAAACACATTGCATGTAATGCATTAGAGGCCTGATTTGTCAGGCAAGAAAACGGATATTATTAGTTCACTGTTCAGGGCTTGCCATAAATCCGTGAGCCATTGATCACCATATAATAAGATTACCATCTGACAGGCTTTCTTAAGTTAATTTACATGTAAGTGCTCGATATCCTGATTGGCTAACAGAGCGCACATTACATACATCTTACATCGTTCAGTGTTCTGCAGTATATGTTTTGCGTGGTTGCCTCTTGTCTGTAAAATGCGATTTATTGTTTGTTCTGGCACTACAATGTTCTTAATGTAAATGTACCATTGTGTTCTCTTTTCATATGTAGGTGGAGCAAGTAGAGATGTAAATGGTGCTTTCATGGTTCTGAAGGGACATCGCTCCATTGTAAATCAAGTGCGTTTCAATCCAGACACCTACATGATCTGTTCTTCAGGTGTCGAAAAGATAATAAAGGTGAGGTTAAATTATTCTTAATGTGTGAAACATTCACGATAAATTGTGATGAAATGGATCTTTCATTATTGTCCACTAAGATGAAGATTCTCTTGTGACTTAGTCAGGGTTCCAGTTTAGGTCTTCCTGTTGCTCTTATACTTAATCCCCAATGTAAGATGAGATTTGTGAATATTTGTCGTCAGTTAGCACGTATTCAACATGATGCCTGATAAAAGCCAAACAGTAGTCCATATGACAGACATCTATGAGCTGGCTGAGACATATCTTTCTCTGACTAAATTTGTATTCTTACATTTGATCTATAATGTTGTTGACAGGTTTGGAGCCCTTATAAACAGCCAAGTTGCTCTGGAGACCTTGATGGGCAGGTTGAAGATGACTCCCGCAGTTTGTACACTCATGAAGAGTACATTGGTCTTGTACTCAATAGTGGAAGTGGGCTGTCTCATGATTATGCCAACCAGTCAGTGCAAGAAGACCCCAGAATGATGGCTTTCTTTGATTCCCTAGTACGGCGGGAGATTGAGGGATGGAGCTCAGATTCCGATAGTGACAGCACAATTCTGCAGCTTCATCCTGGAGTCAGTGAGCGTTCAGCTTACAGCGATTCAGAATCTTCATCTCTACCTCCTTCACCAGTGCAAGCTCCAGGAGTGTCTGATGAGAATACCAATGCTGAAGGGTCCCAGAGATCTGCAGAGTTTCCTACTACAAGACCAGATATGTCTTCCCATCAGCTACATATGTTAGCTTTAAGAAGATACCAGGATAAACGACTGTCTGCCATGTCCAACAACTCTGACTCCGATGATAATGCCTGTGAAACTGAGGCAGAGATTGAGCCCTTTCCTCGTCCTCGATCACCGAGTCCTGAGGAAGATCAATCCAGTAGTAGCAGCAGCAACAGCGATGAAGAAGACAACCTTAATGATCGTCGATCAGCAATGCGACAACGTAATGCACTCAGAAACCGTCAAAAAATTCAAAGGGAAGAAAAGGCTAAAGTAAACACAGAAACCACCACAACCATTGTAGGTGAGGATGTGTATGATTATCCTCAAATTACCGTTGATGATCATTCAACATCTTCGGAATCCTCACCTGAGAGAAGAAGTCCAAACGAAATTGACAGAAAATCTTCACTGTGTTCAAGCATAGGCTTAGTTGAGCGAAAGATATATAAAGCATATAAATGGCTGCAATATTCTTACATATCCTATTCTAAAGGGAAAGAAGGAGAGACCTCCAATGCAGATGAGGAAAGTGAAGAAGGAAGGCCAGGCACAAGTGGAAGGTGCAGTACTTTGCCACCGGTTAAGGTAAATGATAGCCTACAAAACACAAATGATATATCCTCTGCAGCTTCAGATTCTGTACAAAGAGACTCTATGGTAGAAAGCCTTAGTACATGTCCAAGTTATCAGGGAGAAAAACACTCTTGGTTGGAAGAATTGGAAAACTCTTCACAAGATACCGGGTCTTTAGAATGCCTGTCGGAAACTAAAAAATTGAATGGAACATCCATCCATAAAGAGGTGTCACCTCAATCTGATGACTCTTGTGATCATTGTGGCTGTGAATTGGCACAAAGCGGCCCAAAAAATCAACAGACTTTAAACCAGCAATCTCTTTTCCAAATAAGGGACTCTTCTACTTCTTTGAATACCAGCATAGAACATTGTTTAAGAAATCAGGAGGATGAGGCGGAAGGGGGAGAAACAGACATTTCATGCTCACTCCAGAGTAATGGCCATCTCCATCACCATTCCCCAGTCTATAATGACAGAGGACAAAGTTCTAGCGAAGCAGGGACTACTGTGTCATGCTCTCATACAAACTCTGTTTTACAAAGTGCAGGCTTGCCACAGGTAGCACGAACATCGCACAAGGACGTATGTCTAACACCCATAGGCCCTAACATATGTACCAAAGATGATTTCACAGATCATAAAGACTCTGGTGATTGGCGGCCTCCTGGTGGACTGAAAAGGCACAGGCAAGAATGTGAAGAGTTGGAGAATTCTTCCTCAGAAAAGAAAAAGAAATCTTAAAATGTGTTTTCTGTTAAAATTTAAAAAGTACTAAATGGTATACCGTATGTGTGGCTATGTGTAACTGACTCGCTAAGCCAATGTTAATTTGGCTTTACTGGTTTTTGATATGTGACATAGCCAAAGTTTAGTTTGCACTAAAGAAAACTGTGTCTTCTTTAAACTATTTTTATAATTTGTTCCTACCATTATGTTAATATTAGAGTGAACTGGCATCTGGTTTATTTTTTCCCCCTGCTTTGGGGCATCTTTAAAACAAAATGTGTTAAAGACGTGACAACTCTTGTGTTGTCACATTGTTATAGAAGGTGATGGAAGGCTGAGAAGAATCATCAAAATTTTGCCATCACAACTCTAAATAAATATCTTTTGGTTTTTTTGTTTGTACATTGCCAAAGTAAACAAATTCTTTCTGATTATACAAATTAAATCTGGCTGTTTGTGACAAGAAAATGTTAGGACTTACTCAAAAGATTAAAGAAAAAAACTGCTTTTCACCCATGACTTGTTTGGGTGTTTTTGTGGGAGTGAGGGATTTTTACGTCTTATAAACTTAAGTCCTTGATGGTGGAGAATGCTCAGGGTGCCTGTTTGGAAGTCTGTTTTAACTAGAATTCCTTGATTCAATCTGTTCTTTAAAAAAAAAAAAAAAAAAGAAGTTAACTGACTTTAAAGTTTATGCGATACTATAAGCATCAAAACAACTTTAGATTAATTAAGTAGTTTTGGTATATTGATTATGCACCTGCAGCCTCACTGCTCAATTCTTTGCCATTTAGGAGTTAAATCACTTCTTTTTTTTTTTTAATTCTGTTTATGCAAACCTAGCCACACCTCCCCGGCCTATGACTCACACCGCATACTTGAATAGAATTGCTTCCTTTTATAATTAGATGTTAATTTGTTTCAGAAGTTTTTATCTCCTGCTCTGTAAAATCACACATAGGAGGCCTCTGCAAAGTCTAGAAGTCTCTATCTCTATTAAGTAAGAGATCAGAAATTATAAATTGAACATTAATTGCAATAAAGGAAGTTTTAAACATTAAATCTCACTTTACAGGAAGTGTTTAGGAAGGCTATGTAAGTCACATGCAGGGAGGTGTGACTAGGGATGCATAAAAAAAGTGATTTGACTCCCAAATGACAAAGAATTGGGCAATGAAACTGCAGGGCATGACCTATTCACCGAAACTGCTTCATTATGCTAAAGTTGTTGTGGTGTCCCTTTAATGTTGACACATGGAGTGGGCATTTTTGATGTGTTATATGACTTGAAATCAATCAAACTCTAGCGTTCTCTTTTGACATTAGACAATAACCATCTCTATGAGTAACTTTTTATATTAAAGATATTCTGGGTTTTAAAAATGTGTATTTGATAACAGAAAACATATCTGCCAATGCAGTTCATTATATGAATGTGTAAGCATACTCAATACTTACCCGAAGCATTCTCTCTTAATTCCTAAACAAGTTATTAAAGCAAGTACAACAGTTAGAAAAGCGCATGGCCAAGGCATTACATGAAGGTGTACCTGGGAAGCACATTAAACAGATAATAGTAACACATATGTTATTAAACAGTATATGTTTAAAGGAACATTTGTAACAATTTTTGTAGCTATACTCCAAAGAAAACATGCATGTGGTTTTGTTTTTCCCCCTACATGTTTTCTTTTGGGGTCATGAACTTTACTGCTCTGCTCGTTTGGCTGCCCCTCTATGTTTTAATAATTCTACAAATCGTGCCGCCGGCCATGTTACCGGGCGCTAGGGACACTTGCATATCTGCTGACTAGTGCCCGGTGTAACACTGGTCTGGCGGCATCCACTTTAGCCAGCCCCCCCAGAAGCACTCCCATTGCCGCGAGGGCGCTTCAATTCCTCGCTCCCGCCCCTTGCATTGTACGTGGGGACAAGTGGGCAGGAGAATAGCAGGGGCGAGGCTGACTCGCAGTGAAGGCAGCCAGGCGAAGGGAAGTGGCCAGGAACATGTGACAAGCAGTCAAATATTAAGAAAGGTAAGTGGGTCAATAGGGAATATGTATTTGTGAAGAATTTGTGTATGTCAGTCTGTATGGGTCAGTATCTGTGTGGGTCTGCATTGGTCAGTGTGTGTGTGTGGGCCTGTGTATGCATGGGTCAGCATGTGTCTGCCGTTTGGGTCAGCTTGTGTCTGCATGTATCTGAGTGTGTCAGTGTATGTGTCTGCATGGGTCAGTGTGTGTGTGTGTGTGTGTGTGTGTCAGTCAGTCCGCATTCATCAGTGTGTGTGTGTCAGTCTGCACGGGTCAGTGTGTGTGCGTCAGTCTGCACGGGTCAGTGTGTGTGCGTCAGTCTGCACGGGTCAGTGTGTGTGCGTCAGTCTGCACGGGTCAGTGCATGTCAGTCTGCATGAGTGGGTGGCGTTATGTTTTTTTGCCTAGGGCGGCAAAAATCCTTGCACCGGCCCTGTTTGGGGTATATGAAAACAAAACCGCTGTTGCGACCTTTGCAAGCACCCTCCTCTTTCCCTAGCACTGATTTTTAGTCTGTGCTGATGAATACTTTAATCAAAGGCTTTTCATTCTGTGCTGGAGCTGCGTGCTTCCGCGCATGAGATCGCAGCTTTCCACTGCTCTCAATGAGCTGTAGTACGAATCATTGATAAAAGGAGAAGACAGACATGGTCTAGCTCAGCATTAGCTGCATGGACCTTATGGAAGCGGAATTAAAAACCTCCCTGAGTGAGTGACAGCCAGGGATGTATTTCCGGCCTCCATTATAAAAATGCTTATTTTCTATTGAAATCGACACATTTATAAACTGTCACAGATATAGCAAACTCTAGATAAATAAAGCCTTTCAGCAACCAGTATCAGGTCCCCAATGCTTCTGAATAATGAGCACTGGATTGTACCAACTACAGAGCAATATTGTCGCTGGAAAAAGGTAAATAAACATTTTACTTTAATAATTTTTATTACACGGAGGGCATGGCAGCCTATCTAACTATGGATAGGAACATGCTTTAGTGGTCCTATAATTATATTCCATGTTATTCCTGCAATACACAGGTATTGGCATGGTACTGTACAAGAACCAATTCAATGAGTCCTTTTAATTTATTTTTTCAACTTCTGTTTCAAGATATGTTACTTTGATAATTTGAGCATCGTAACCTGTTCTCTTGTATTTATAATCTTGTTCTTGGAAGTGTGTATTAGTGGACTGACCTTTTTTAGTTTGTTTCCTCCTTTTGTAACACAGTTTTTGCTTTTCAAGTAATCTTTTTGAGGTCTATTCAATAAACAGTTTGAGATTGATGTTATTTGGCCTAAAATTCACCAGCCAATACAGGCATACCCCGCTTTACATACCCCCACTTTACGTACTTACTCGCGAGTACAGACATACCCGCGAGTGTACGTAAAGGTGCCTTGTGAGTACAGAGATTCCCGAGTCCTCTTCTGTCAGCGGGGGAACAGGAAATGGAAGGTTCTATTCTCGCCCGGAGCAGCTCAGTTCAGTTTCATTGGGGCAAGAACCTTTCAGGCCTTCTGAGATGGCACAGGTTAGTCATCTCATTCTGTTTTTGTTTTACGGGTTGGGTTAGGATCTGTAAACCTCAAACATGTTGGGACAAATTTATAATGCTTACTCCTATCTGAACATAGATATATTTTTTTTCTGCCCATACATTGTCCATATTCTGCAATCAGCTGCCATCCAGGGAAAGGGTTTACCCTGCCATTTTCTATAACTATGACTTAGCAGCTTAGCTGCATTAGCCACAATTCTGAGGATTAAAACTTAAACCATAAATGCTTAAAGTGACGAAGAGGTGTTTTTAAACAAAGTGTGCAACTAAGCTTCTAACAAATACAAATTGGCACTGTATTGACAGAAAATGAAGGTTGTCAGATGAGTAAAACATTAAAGAAAAAAATGGTACAATATGGAATGAGATTTTTCTTTTTACTGTTTGTTTTAACTGAATAAAAGCCCATTGGAAATCACTAAATAAATCACTGGAAATCTGCAGTTGCAGTATCAGTTATGCCTGTAAATTACTATTGCAACTCAGTACATGCATTGGGAAGTGAAAAAAAGGTATTGCTTCACTTTATATTTACACATGCTCTGGTCCCACTGTGTACTTAAAAGTGGGGTATGCCTGTATTTCAAAGGGATGGCTCCATATTGCCCCAAGCTGTAGAGAGTGTGGTATAGATTAAATGCGTCTTAAAGAAATTTTGAAAGTAAAGTACAGTAAAAAAAGAAAATATATATATCACCATATGTAATATGTACTTTTTTTTTTTTTTAGTGCTGGAATATGTCTGCATGATTTTCAGTAATTTATGTGAAATATAATTCTGAGTTAATGTCAGAGGACATGCCTTGATGCTCATCTGAATGTATTCATATAGTTGTAGATGTCTTGCTGCAAAAGGAGAATTCATGAATCTATTTGGGAGTAAACCAATAGAACTCCATGAGTAACAGAATGTAAGGAATACTGAATGGAACATCTACTAGAAGGATAAGTGGTAAGATTGTCCAGTCCAGAAATGTTCATAGTATTATAATTTATTTAAAAGGCTAAAAAAAAAAATCTTATAATTATATGCATCATTTATATAATTTATTAAAAACATAGGTGCCACCACAACTTGAGCATCATAGATCTGTTGTATTTCCTCTGTCCCTACAGAACCCTGGGTGGCCACTCATGCACCCACCCAATCAGAGACCCCATTCCCTAACATAGCATTTCAATAGCCAATAATACATTTGTATCCGGGTTATTCACTAAAGTCAATTTAAATTTTTAGGAAAGAATAGCTGTAGAAGCCTTCTCCAATTCAGTTATGTTCTCAGCTCAGCTACTTTGGCCTACATTTTAATTATACTTTGAAAAATCTCAACCGCTCTGTTTCTGTGTGTCAAACTTGTCTGGTTACAATTACATGTTTGTTAGTTAATGCATTGTAAAGCGCTATGGAATTAATTGGTGCAATATAAATATAATTAAAAATGGAATAAAAAAATAACACAAATAATCAAAACAATCCACACTTTAGTGGGAAGAAAAAAAACCTTGATGGCTTTCAAAGTCCAAAACACTTATGAAGCCATTTCCCAATATACACCCACATTGCCCAACTCATTTTTATTCTCATTGTATTCTGTAAGCCAATCTTTCACCGTATTAAATCTGGGGCATGACTTGCTCCATCTTCCTTCCATGTGCGTTTTTGTCTATATCTGTCAAGTCAGCTAATGTTAAATACCTATTATGCATCTCTTGATGTCTTTTTTTTTAACTAATAATATTATAAGGAATGCTGCCAAGTCTTGTCCCAATATCTCCTTTCCTGCTGTATAATTTACACCCTGACTTCCTTTTCTTGAGCCTCTAGCTGTTTTTTTTTTTTTTGACAATTTTTATTTTTCAAGCTTAAATGGGGTACAGAAAGTAAGAGGGATAAGGGTTCATACTAAAGATGTTCACATGTTCGTGTTACAGGTACAATAACGTGGTTAAGGGCTATAGCTTTACACATGTCACATTTGGTCTTGGGTTAAACAGTGGCCTTAGAACATATCTCGTGGGCGCCATTCTGCTACCATTTGGTTGTAGCGTTTGCTCGTCATGACCTTGGGTATTGGTAATTAAGGCATTGTAGGGCTGAGTCCAGGGCCTTGCTTGCTGCCTGTGTTGTCAGTGGTGGTGCAGGGTTGGGGGGGAGTAGG